CTATACTCTATTTCTTCTTAAGATAGTCATAAATAACCACAATTTCCAAATCACAACGCAATCAATCGGTAAATTTCTTTCATAATAAAACAATGCAACGATATGTTACTATCTTGGAACCATAGAGTAAAATATTTATATTGAGAAATTATAATAAAACAAAAGTTTCTAATAGATGTTAAAACCCAAACATCCTTTGCTCGTTTAATTATCTGCTTAGAAATCCGCGAGAATTGTGGTAGAATTCATTAGTTTCCATAATCCTTATGCGATCTTAAGATTTAGGATTTATATAACTGTCATCCAATTTCTTAAAAATTTTAAGCAAGCCCTTTAGAAAATGACACGGATACACGACGATATTAGAGTAAATAAATTTTGTATGGTAGATATTCCATAACAAAACTGGGAGGATAAGTTGCATAAGATGTCATTTGGTCATTTCTTACGATTGCCCTTAATTTAGAATTTTATTAAATCTCAATTGTTGCTGTATAAACCTAAGTTATGATTACTATCAGACAACAATATAGACTTCATAGAATCTTGACTAAGCCAGTATCCAATCTCTATTGCCGACATATGTTTTTAACCTACACCGGACATTAAATAAGGTATAAGACCTACGTGTATACTTTTGGAGTTATACGGTAGATGATAATATTCTACATTTGAAGAAAATTGATAAACTACTGACGCCCTATGAATTCTCATAAAATTTACTGCATCAATTCATCTTAAAATCTTTTAAGGTACCAAATAAATTCATTTCGGAAGAAAAATATAAAGTTTTAAATATTAAAGATAAAGACAAATGCATTACTGCAATAGTCTTGACTAATTGTAAATTATCATTTAAGAAGTTATTCGTAAATAATGATTAATTAATTTATAGAAGCTAGTGAGCCATTTTTATGCCAATACTATACATTAATTAGTAAGCAATTTTGAAACCATTGAACTACCGCTTGTGCAAGTACCGTACGGTGGTGAAATAGGGCATTGAAAATATTATTATAGCGTAGTTACGTAACTCATGTATGACACTTGGTCATTATGTCGTATTGTAAAATATGGCCATTCATTACCAACAATTTTATTTGTGTTACATTAAATAACATAGAGTAAGTCTCCGATAAATTTTTTTGAACAGAAAACATTTTATCATGTGATTTTACGCGGTTGTAAATCTTAATGTCCTTTCACATCCTGAATTATATGCAGAAGTCCGAAATATCTCATAGATGTGCAAAATAAAATTAATTACAAAGCTAAAACTGGTTATAAAATATAATATATGAACTTACTAGGTACTTCCGTACCGGTAAATCTTTTATTTCGAATAATCATTCAATACCGCTTGCTTTGTTGAGAATGAAGCGTATGTTACTAATTACGGTACACTCTCCTTAATAAAAGATTGGGATTATTATATACATTTTTACATCAAGTAAAATAAAAGAGATCTATAGCGTTAATTATTATTCTAGATTAATACTTAAAATTTCGATTTCATTGCAGTGCTAAATAAAGTATTGTAAGGCATACACGTTTAATTAAAGGCGCCATTAGTGATATTTTTGTCTATCTAATTCTATAATATCATGTAACAGAAATTCGAAAATGAAATATTGCAGCGATAGGCAGATTAATTTAATTTACATTATTTTGGAATGCTTTAAATTATTGATGTTCTTAAAAATCATAATTTTTCATCACTACGTTGTTCAATTGCAAAGTGCTTGCTAAGTTATTGCATTAATGAAAGATATTCATGTTAAGCTAAAAGGATCTTATTTAGATTAAGATTCACAAATAATATTGAATATTTAATTATCTAACTGAGGGTTCTTTTTAACGGTATGATAAGATTCTAATATCTATCTCTTCTCATTCCAATTATATATTACTCTCTATATTCTGTAGTATGAAACAAATCTAGGATAATAACTTTGATATCCTACATTACATTTTAATGCAAGTGTCTATTTTATATGAACTAATAATAATTACAATTGAACACGATCATAACGCTACTTATATCAAACTAATGTACTCATAACGTTATTATACCATAGCAATAAAAATATAGTAAACGTATTCTTTAATTCAGTCAGTATTACTGTCGCTGGTGCATGTGTATTATCTGCAAATACATTATCGCTTCACTGATGTCTGCGTTATACTGGCTAAATAGCATATTTCCGTGATGGCTGGCTATCAGTTATATTTTAAAAAATCATGATCTAGAACTAATCCGGATGGTAATTACGAGGAATCAGAAATGAAAGATTACGACTACTGTAACAGATAAAAGTACTGTTGATGCAAACTATAAATGAAAACGGTGGCATATCTAATATATGTATGGTGCAACTAATTAATAACAGTTTGAATGAAGCTTAAGCTCGATGGATACAGTCATACGAATGTTTAATTAGAGTTTTATCCGTTTCGTCATCAAATATGGTTTAATATTTGGCCTTAGGCATGAACCAACGGCCTTATTAATGTTTTGATTACACTAATATCTACATCTGGTGCTAGTTTACAATGTCTCAAACTAGGATAATCGTATAGGTATTATCATATTTCAAGTAAAAGACGTGCGTTGGCTTTAATTCCTATCTTTAACCTCAAAGTACCCTGCATTTTTGGAATGGGCTTGGTCTACTTTATTGATCCGATGTTTGGTATCATAATACCATTTGTTGACAATACTGTGTATTTGCTACATAAGGCTGCTGTGTTCTCTCGTCTTACGCTTAGATTGATATTAAAATGGCAAATTAATAGTGAAATGGTACTTACATCTTCAACTTTCTTTCTATTAGATAATTCCTTTTTATGTTCAAATTTTAATCTATCATTTTCTACATTTAATTGCTCAATGAGTTTATGTTCGGAACTTTGTTGATTCACAAGTTTTTCCATATTTTCCAACGTTCCTATGACTTTAGGCATTAAATCAAAAATTATGTCCTGGCCATATTTTTGGGCTATAGTCTCAAAGTCACGGCCGATATCAGCAGCAACTTGGTATACGTCTGATATACTTAAGGCTCGAGTGAGGCTAGGCTTTGTTTCATCTGGTTCTTGCATCGGCTCTTCCATGTCGGTATTCGGCATAATAGTAATTTACTTCGCAATTACTGAGAGAAAAGACGAAATTAAAAAATTACACTATATCATCAAGCGTGTACCGATAACTAATCGATAAAATTGACAGTGACTGATCACTAAATACTGGATATTGCTTAAGATTATAAAAAAGAAAGGAATATTACTGTTTAATATTATTATGACTACAGTACTATATACTGTATCCATGCAAAATATTTGGGCTGTCTCACGAGAAGACAATAGCATGCCAAAACTAAAGACGGTGGGCGATATAATATATTATTCATTTTCTAAATATTTATGTTAATCAATGAACACATTATCATGACAACGCAATCGACCAATCATAGTGGTAAAAATCGAACCGCAAGATGGTATTGGCGTGCTAAGGTAAATGTGTTCAGGAGAACGTCATACATTTTGAAGAATGAATCACTACAATCCACTTACAACTTGAATTAAAATATTCATTTAACTCATGAACTAATGCCGCTACTCTTTTAGTTACGCTTACTTTTATTTAATTATATTTTAAATTTTCAAGATTTAGTGATCGAAAATGTTTGTGTCGACATAAAAATAACTATTTTCCTACGTTATTTAACTATTGTAGAATATTTGGTTCTTAGTGAAGCTCATGTTATGCTGCTTTCTAGAGGACATTGATCGCAATTGCAAGTAGCGTTTAAAGTACCCATCAATCAAAATTGGTATGCCAGTTATGGAGGAAATTAAAAGGTTCAAAGTGATTCCAAGGATTTCTGAAAAGAAATCTGAAGTTCCCGAAACTGCTCTGTAATACCTTTAATATCTCACCATTGATTAAAACTATTAAAGCTATTAAATGCACAGAATGGACAGGGAATAAAATCTTTTTTTTGTAGATTAATTATCAGTAATAATGCTTTGATTCTTATACTGCTAAAGTACGATTTTTAATGAATTCACTCATCAAAAAAAATTATTACTGGCAGTAACCGACATACGTACAACAGCTATGTTCCATATACGAATGGGCTAGTTTAAACTAACCGTGATATACTATAGTAATATAGAAGCTATTTATTTCATGATAGAAATTGACATTGGTAAGCTAAAGTGACATACTCGTATTACTGTGGCAGTACTATATATTGCCTTGTGTTTAAATATTCTTATACACTGTACCCTACACCGAGTGTACACTGTACAATATGCTGGCGTATAATGCCAGTAAAAACTCCTTGCCAAGCGGGAGATCCTCTTCGATCATTTTTTAGCCTGTACTGTACTGTACACTGTAAACTCTACATTGTGTAGGATTTCTTTTCTACTGTACAGTAGAGTAATCAGTGCATATTTTTATGGTTTATTTTCGAAATAAAACCTGTAAAACAAACTTTATATGTATGATTTATATAAAATTTAAATAAAGTCGATCAATTTTCGGCCACTTTATTTCATTTTGAAAAATCTGGATTGAAATTCTTCACGTTGTACATTGAACTGTACACTTATCAAAACTTCTGCAGCCTATAACTTTAGTATTGTAGGATTAATTTCCCTGTAACTATTGCGAATCGACCATTTTTGTTGGTGCTCATTTAGTTATTGTTGAATGATCCAAATTTAATGTAAGCACCCATACACGCTGTACAGTACTCACTGTCCATCCGTCCGCACTACCACAGCACCGCAACCTGCCAGCCAGTCTGCTGGCTACGGTTACGGCACAACTGCAACTGTACTGTTAAAAGCTGGTTTAGCGTAGTCCGGGTGGGTCTAGCTTTATTTCATTGCAAGGAGCAAAGTCGTGTAGATTGCTGCTTCCGCTGTTGTGAATTTGTGTTCTGCTTTATCCAATTTTATCAACTGTGTCTAGTACTAATGGTATAGAAATGTCTTCGCTACCGACTTGCATAGGTCATCGATTGCTCATGAACATTTCAAATACGATGTTCTTTGGTTATCGGGCACTTTCGACAAGCACTATAGCAAACACATTGAAACCAGCTGCAAAGTATTCCTCAAGTGATGATATGATGGATAAAGAAGATGGGACGAAACAATTAAAATATGCTACCGTTTTTAATAATCGTAATCCGCGTAATTTAGAATTGATGGCCTTAGCACCGAAGGCAAGAGGTTATGGAACAAATCCGATAAGGCAGGACTATTACCACAAGTAAGAATCTGATCCTAATTTTTTACACTTTGATGCAAATGTAGAGTCTAATGAAAGATTCAGTATTAATTCACCGTGCAATGTGATTATGGGGTTCTGCTGACACATGGAAAGAGGATACTGTAATACTATGCTGTACTATAATTAGTTAAACCTACTATTTGAACTATTTGCTATCAACATAACAAGGTAGTGAGATCTTACAAACACCATGTAGTATTATGTTACAGTACAGTACTTATCTCATCAAGATAAATGACTTTTACGCGTATACTGATTTTATTGGCTAGTAGCTTAATCCTAAATTATACAAACGCGTACTTCGAAGTTTGAACTTAACGGACTGATGATAAACGCACTGTAAATATAGTGCAACATGCAGTGTGCGTAATTTATCTCGTACACTGTAATAAGCACAGCTCTGCACTTTAACTAAATGTTGGCTCAATATTTCGGAGTGCAAGTGGATCCCTTGTTGCCTTTTAACGTTAAAGCGTGTGCTTATAACGGTGAATTAAAGAAATAACCCTCGGTGCAGTGTTATAACCATCTACTGTAGATGAGAAATTGAATTAGGGGCTGCAGCTCTATACCGAGAAAAAATACGCAATACGTGTCCTTAAAAGGCTATAAAACTGTACTTCAGCGATCTATGTTCATTGCACCCCGTTTACTATATGAACTTATTCGACAGGATAGTGTATGCTACGTAATACTGATCTGCGAAATATAATCCCTTTCAGAGCACATTTGGAAATTTCCAACTGGCACATCAGTGCTTATGTATGCCATCGAGATGGACATCGGGTTGCTAGTGCTTCTACGAAAGAATTTCCAATAGCAAGGCATTTATATAAAACTAGCGACGTAGCTGCAGCAGAAAATATTGGTCGTGTGCTTGCACAACGATGTCATGCGGCAGGTATCGAACGATTAATTGTTGACCGTATCTTGACAAAACAACGAAGTAAAAAGGTAATCATCAATTTACTGCTTCTCAGTGCATAGTGTACTCTTAACTAGTAATATTAACGTAAATTTCTGTTCGCTTTGTAAACTATGCAAATTTTGCAACTGTGATTCTTTGATATAGTTGCTTATATCATTCACAATGTTTTAATTTCCTTCTTCGTAGACTGTTGCATTTATCAGAGCTTTCCGGAGAAATGGGATTCTTCTTAATGAACCTCGGCAGAACTATAAGATTATCCAATAATGAAATCTTTTGTAATAACATAATATCACTGAATTATTTTTAGCTTTTGTACTTGAAGATACGGCACGTTGTTTTTTGTTTCGCCGCAATTCTATGCTTATTAGTTCTTCAGCTAAGGCACACATGTAAATATAAGGTGAAAGCTGCGGTCTAAATACTTTTAGAATAGATTTGATCAACCGTTGTGGCGGATTATGAGTTGGTTATGATTAAAATGATATAAATTAGTCTAATTGGATCAAGGTGGTGCTTTATTAACAGATGTTAATTGCAGCTAAAATGACTAATAAACATCTAGAAAAGAAAAGATGGGTCAACTGGACAAACCCTGATTCATGGAACAATTCCAAGAATTTTTCAGTGGCCACGCACGAACTGTTTAAACACTAAATGATGGGAACTATGAATTGATTAAGCGTGCTTTTCATATTTAATGTGTCTCATCCTTTCAAATGCAGTTTCCTACATTCAAGTTTAGGAACCTTTCACATGAAATCTACCTTAAATGCTAAACGGTCCAATACATAAATACAAAGTCATACCAACTATCCTGGATTATTATGATAGATAATAAGCCAGGTAAATTTTTAGCAATAACCAAAAATATATCTTGAATAGCTTTATACATTGGTAAACAAAGCTATTAAAAATCTTTATATTAGTTGTATTTCGCATTAATCAGGTAATATCACATCAAATGATTAGATAACCCTTCTGACTTCGAAGAATCTTTTCAGATAATATACTTGGCCAAGGGTCATAAATACCAAAATAAGACTTTCAAAGAACGACCACCACACAACTCTTGAGTTCGTATTATCGTTGACTAAATAAAATTTAAAAGATAAATTTACTTCATTAGTAACATTAAATACTGTACGTACCAATCCACATATCATTTTGTATGGAAATAGTCAACATTTGAAACGGTAACATACCACACACAGTGCGAATATCGCATTTGCAATGTTAAGCATACGTAATCATACTGGTTTTTGATAACTTACTCTCCCGATGTATTCTTTCTCGAATTTGCATGTATTCTTGTTCATGTTTAACACTGCTGAGTGAAACCGATAGCTGAGTAAGCATACTATCGAGCTGGCTGTGGTTGGCTATGGTATAATAGTAAAACATGAGATCATTAAATGAAGGTCGTTCCATAAGAGTTTAATGTAGTACGAGCATTGTCGTGCCTGATTGTCCCGCAATCTTACAGTAATAGTATAAGAACTACAGCTTCATATATACTGTACAATAGAGATTAGGCAGTAAAGCATAAAACAGAACGTAATTTAGTAAAGCTATTTCCTATTGGTTGATACCGTCTTTATCTTTTTCGTCGTCTTTGACAGCAGCAGGATCTTTTCTTACTTCAACCTCTAACGAAAACACTACCGTTTTTGGAGTAAGAGTTGACATTTTGTTACCAAAACAGTAAGTGTAGACACCATCCACAGGCGCCGCGAAGACATATTTGCCACTTGATTCACGTTCTCCACGATAGATATCACTACCATCTGGTGCTGTCACCTTTTGAAGGTTTAAAAGTAGACATTAGTGACTTAAAATTTCATGCAATGCGACATCACTTTCGCAACGCAGATAATATGGTGCTAGATACGGTACGGTTAGGATTCCTGCAAAATACATTACTGTACAGTATAGTGTTTCCACTACGTCCGCATATTAGTGGAGATACTAGTTCAAAAGAGCAACCACTGTCTCACATGTATCTTTTAGCCAAATTATAACATTCTTACAATTAGTTACTGTATACTGCGTCATAGAGTATAATATATCATGGATGCAGATATGATCAAGTATCCTAGAGTCAAATGGCTTTAAGTTACTGTATATTTTACTGATATTGCGCTATATTCACCGCTACAAAAGTCATTAGTATCTCTACTTCGGCATATCTTGGATTATGTGAGGACAATATAATATAGCAGGCTACAACATTTTTATAATAATTTCTTTATCGTAAATCTGATGATAATTCTGCGTAAATCCGACTATGAGCTTCTGTAATCGAAAAAAGCTGTATTTGCAGAGTTATGCTACAGCCAAAAATTCAACATTTTTTATCCATTTTAATCTTAAATCTTCGATTAATGTATTTATTGTATGCAACTGACAGAGAACAAAGTAATGATGGCATCTTTAGCTGGAATCGTAACTGTATTGTACTGTACTGTACATACGGTTGAAGTTTCCAAATGCTTTACTCCCAAATTTAAAACATTACGGATGTATGAATAACAGTTTCCAATGTTACAGTATAAATTGTACATTCTAGATGTATCCAATCCATTGAGTTATAAATTGCCCTTTCTTGTCCTTTATTAAAGCGTCTCCGTTTTTAGACGTACGTGAATTACAGTACAGTAGAGTAAAGTATAGTGTACACTGTACAGTGCTGTAACTAAGTACCATGAGAAGCTGTAAATATCCTTTTTTTAACTATGGTATTCGTTACAGACTTAATAGTAAAGAGTAAAATGAGAAAGAAGCGAAAATTAAATTCATAATTCTCGGTTACTGCTACGTATTGTAGGATAATATACAATATAATGAATTAAAAAGCTTTACCTTGATATCAATGTCCAGGAAACCACCCTCCGAAACTTCGAAAGTTAGTTCCATTTTAGAACCGCCGCTAACTTTCTCCGTAAAACATTCTTCTGAATCAGCATCAATGCGAACCATGTATCCATGGCAGTTACTGACGAAGAGTAGTAAGATAGCAACCAATATTTTACAGGATTTCATCTTGCTTAGCTACTCTTATTCTAAATTACAGCTACTTCTAGCCTTCTTTATCAATCTCATATGATAAAAAATATCATAATAAGGCTACAGTAAAAAGCCTTCGATGGGTTACTACAGCTGTACTGTACGGTACAGTATTATACTGTACTGTACTGTACTGTACAGTACAGTACAGTAATACGAATATCAACTCATCCATTACAGTACAGTACTATACAGTACGTACAGTACAGTGTACAGTACAGTAGATCTTCCCTTTCATTTACTGTACAGTACATGGTGTAGAATTTCTTTCTAGATAAGTCAGTGAATATTTTTATGATTTATTTTCGAATAAAACCCATAAAACTGTATATCTGCTTAAAGTGCAGTAGTTTATAGTTTGGCAAGATAAAATATTGTATACATCAAATAATCGCGCTGATCCATTTCGCTACGTACAGTGTACAGTACAGTATGAGAAAGAAAAAGAAATTTATCGAGATCATTCGTTAACGAGAAGTTGTACTGTTCTGTACAGTGTACTGTACTGTATGGACACTCATTGCACAGCACTACAGTACAGTACAGTACAATACAGTACTGGAATACTGTACGCTTTTAGTCGCCACGTCACATCACAATATCGATTTGTTGGCACGTGCAGTTTAGTCTTGAACGTACAGTACAGTACAGTACAGTACAAAGTACTCCAACTTACAGTACTGTACACTGTACAGTACAGTGAACACTATGAAATTTAAAATTTTTTGGCTACTGTGCAAGCGTACAGTCAAGTGAGGTGACTGTACTGTACTGTACAGTGTACAGTACGTACAGTACTCTACTTCGAAGTGAAATAAAGAAGTTGCTAAGTTGCAGACACTGCTGTACATGGTAGATTAGATGTGTAAATTTGGTAATATTTTTTAAAGCTGAACGATTAACGATAAATTTCCATGACATTATGAGGTTAGCTGTTGATTTGCCTTGCTTGGGATAGCTGTAGAATGTTTTTCAATCTTTCGTGTAGTACTGTATCCGTTTGAGTTTGGTGCAGCACAACTCACCACCCAGCAATGCAAAAACGCTTATGCAAATGCTTGTAGACTTCAAAACTCTGAAAGCTAGAAACATGCCTTAGAACAGGGAAACATGTTTGATGCCATGATTAATTACACCAATTTATATGGCTAACGGAATTGTAGAGCATGTGTACTTGTCCAGTAACACTGTAACATATTGAATTGGAAGATAGGTAGTTCTGTAATACGACTGATAAATACCGTAATTATAATCCGATTACATTGTACTTCCATTTGTACACATACTGTAGTTTGCAAGTACTGATTTATTGATTTTATCAGTTATTAATGAGTGACTGTTAGGCGCATTGATTGCAGTCTTAAAAGCTTACCTTGTCAATGAGTCTTCAATATTTACTGCGTACTGTACTGCATTTGGATGTATTATAATGACTTACTTTTAGGACATTGTGTTGCGAAATATGAATATAAAACGAGTTGCAATAATGAGCTCACACCTTTTAAGGATCTTATACAGTAGAATAGTGTATGCATTGTAAGATGCAACTGCAACAAGCTCAGATCAGTTCACCGATGATATATTTACTGTAAATCTCGATGTCAATGATGCATTAATTAGTATATATATCATTATAATATCTCAATGAGATAACCTAATTTTATCATCAATCACGAGGACATGTTGTCAGGTTGTCACTAGTTGCATCTCTATTCATTACTGTACCTGTAGAACATTCATGTTTAAGGTGTCTTCGTATAGAAATAAATTTCTGATCATACTGTAGGTACGGTACGATGCTTTGATATACTAAGATTTGCAATTCTTACATTATTTTTATTCCGTTAATAACAGTAGAAACCAGTTATTGGTATACGTACTACCATATACAAGGACATTTATTATACTTTTGACCAATGATAGATGCTACTACGTATAAATGCTTATCAAACAAGTCAATTTTATTTGCAATGATAATTTAACAGTTCTTATATTATATTACTGTGCTGCAATGTACAGTATGTTTTCATATTATTAATCATACTTCCGCTAAACGTTAAATTTGTGCGATACATCTGAAATGGTTTCACTTTACTAACGTACTGTATTCCACTAGTGATCCAAGCTCGAATACAGATAAACGTATTTTAGTGCAATTCAAGAGCGAAACTGGCGAATTAGTCGGTTCTCCCCTAGACGTCCCGATCGAAGTAGATGTCAAACGCCTTCAATTGATTTGTAATGCTGTTATAAATGAGGTAAGATTGTATTATGGTTATCTATTCAGCTGAGTTTTTCGACTTTGAAAAATAGAATTTATAATTAAGTATGTATTATCGTCGATTTGTCTAAATAAGCTATACTCACTTGTAATCCCTGTAATGTAGGATGATTCAACACCTTACGCTTTTTATCTCAATAATGAAGAAATATTGGATGACCTGCAAACTACTATCACTGCAAAAAATGTTGATACAGAAAGTATTATAGAGATAGTTTACCAACCTCAGGCCGTATTTCGGGTTAAGTCAGTTACACGATGTAGTAGTACTTTACCAGGTATAGTACAAGCAAATAGAATGCTTAATATTTGACCTTTAATTGTTGTAGTGTCATGTAAATCTATTTCAGGCCATTTAATGTACGCGTGTTATAAATTATTGATGATTGCCGTTTCGTACCAGGTCATACCGAAGCTGTAATATCTGTTGCCTACAGTCCTGATGGCAGGTAACTACTGTAAATAGTTATCTGATAAGAAGAACCGTGGATAAAGTCGAATTTGAAAATTCTTTTGTCTTTTAGCTACCTTGCAAGTGGATCTGGTGATACTACGGTTAGATTTTGGGACATCAATACCGAAACTCCAGATTATACTTGCAAAGGTTTATCTCATGTACCTGTAATGAAATTTCTGGAATGATTTAAATTCGTATGCTAACTTGCATGTTATGACTCTACAGGTCATAAACATTGGATACTATCTATTGCTTGGTCACCAGATGGAGAAAAGTTAGCTTCAGGATGTAAGAAAGGAGAGGTATGTTATAAATTTTACTGTAGTGTTGTGTATATCTGCTAATATCACTGTTTAGCGATACCTGATCAATTGGAGCTTTTTAATGGAAATAAAATTTATGTATAGATTTGCCTATGGGATCCCAAAACCGGAAAACAGATTGGGCACGTTTTAGTAGGACACAAACAGTGGATTACTTACTTAAGCTGGGAACCTATGCACAAGTTCGTTACACAGTAGAATAGTACGCTAGACTAAGTACTCTTTTAATCCGCAATCATAAGTAAATTATGTTTGTTCTACCATACATAATTTTTTCTCAATTACGATGTTTTAATAGAGATTCCGACTGCCGCTTTTTAGCAAGTTCTTCGAAGGCTAGTTATTCATATGGCATTATAGAGTTTAAATCAGTTATTCGCGCACTTATAAACGTAGCTTACTGTATGTACGATAGGATGCTTCTGTACGAGTATGGGATACCGTAACTGGTATAACGAAATATGTACTTTCTGGACATCTACAATGTGTCACTTGTGTGAAATGGGGCGGTGAAGGTTTAATATATACTTCTTCCCAAGACAGAACTATAAAAGTTTGGAGGGCGAGCGATGTTAGTGATGCATTAAAGTTGACTTTAGTATTTTTAAACTTGTAAACTAATTATATCGACTATTAAAATATTTTATTAAAAATAAATGTTACATAACTGTAATTAAATTAGGGAATTTTATGCAGAACCCTTCAAGGTCATGGACATTGGGTGTGTAATCCTACTTTAATAGTATTTAATATCATTTATACGCGTAAACGATATTGGAACAGTAATCCCTGATTTTATTTATGTTTATTATTATTTATACCTTCGATATTTTAATTTTATAGGTTAACACTATGGCTTTAAATACGGACTACGCCATGCGTATTGGTGCATATGATCCGGCTAAGGGAGAGAAATTATTAGTAGGAGGAAGTAAGATATGAGTCTTAATGTGTTCCTATATGAAATTTACTTTTGATATTCGGGTGCCTAACTGATAATATTGTTACTTTTCACAACAGAGAAAAATCGTCAAGAAAAATCCCTTCAAAAATATAACTTAGCTCTCGTATGTCTGTACAATTTATTTTACCGCAATTGGGCATTACAGTTTTGGAAGATTATTTTAGAGTAGCTGAAAATAATCATATAACTTTACTAACAATTGATTCACTCATATAACAGAAACTAACGGGGAAAGAACTTATGGTTTCTGGATCTGACGATTACACTTTGTTTTTATGGCATCCTGCTAAAGAAAAAACGCCGATAGCTCGCATGACGGGTACGGAATGATCCGTTTATGGGTATAATATTTTATTTTAGAAACTGACTCGCTACTAAATCAATCCGTCGTTTGTTGTGTATTACTGCTTAATCGTAGGTCATCAACAACTTGTAAATATGGTATGCTTTTCGCCGGACACGCGGTTAATTGCCAGCGCTTCCTTTGATAAATCGGTTAAACTATGGGATGGCATCACTGGAAGGTATGACCGAATGTTGATAGTTGGATGACTTGATTCACTTACCAATTAAAGCTTTAGATTATTGCTATCACGATAGCTAGAGACTTATACATACTCTTCTGCCATACTTAGATTCATTACATCTTTACGTGGCCATGTAAAGTCAGTGTATCAGGTTCCCCTAATTACAGATTACTTAATTAAACATGCATTCATAGGCTTTTAAAGATAACAACTTATAAATTGTTTTAGGTGTCTTGGTCAGCTGACAGTCGGCTGTTTTTGAGTAGCAGTGCAGACAGCACATTAAAAGTAGGTGTCATGTTATTTATCTCATGATAATACCGTCAGTATACTTTTCAGTAATGTGTAATACTTATGACAGGTATGGGATGTGAAGAGTAAGAAGTTACACATGGATTTACCGGGTCATGCTGATGAGGTTAGTTGCAATATCTTTTATGTATGTGAAAGGTTTTATAAGTCATCCAATTGCAACGTTCTAATTCCATTTTAACAGGTTTATGCTATTGATTGGAGCCCTGATGGAGAAAAAGTTGCAAGTGGAGGAAAAGATAGAGTTCTGAAATTGTATGCTTATAGATTTTTGTGATATAGCTACTTAGTTGTAAATTTACGTTATATCATTGAAGAAATATTTTATTTCATTTTTTCAGATGGAGAAGATAACACATTCTGATAGTGTACAGCGTTTAAATTAAGAGAAGCACATAATGTGTATTTTTATGTTAGTTCCGTTACCTATTTTACTCCATATAACATTGTATCATAATAAATGTTTAAATACCAATGAATGCAGTGTATCAATAAAAATATATATATATTTGCTCTGTAAAACTCTGGGTTGCTCTTATACGTACACTGTCTCAATACAGTGTGTTATCGTAATAAAGCATAAGGAGCTATAAGTTGCTTAAATTTTATAGATAAAAACATGAATGAAGTACAATATAAATATTGGATAGTAACCACATTCTTGATAAGATATTACTGACCAAAATATATTACTGTATGTATACAAAGATACTAACTTACATGCCCGAGTCATGTCATTGCTATAAAGCTAAATAATGTAGCAGGTTATTCATTCGTTATAGGCAGTGTAAATCTGTAACTATAAGCCTTTACCGGATATAGTATGAACGATATTACAGTAAGTCTCCATCTCTTCGGATAAAGAATGCTCTGCTTCAACATAATTAACAGCGTGTCTGACTAAAGCATCTCTTAGTTGATGTGAAGACAATAGATATTTTGCTAAACCTATAAATTCCTACAATTTCATAAAGAGAGAAGATTACATCATATGTTTAATGTTATACAAATTATACTTGTTAGATTGGGAATATTACCTCTGGTGTATTAAATAATAACCCTGTTTTAAGATGATCAACAATTTCGCAATTTCCCGCATTTCTTCGAGCAATTACTGGGGTACCGAGATTCATAGCCTATGAAATTATTTGGTTAAATTAATGTTAAGTATTTCATTATAATTTTAAGGCAAAGTAGATCCTAATAATTCCTGGGATATTTTAATTGTACCCTGAAAAACTATGAAGTACCTCTAAGATCACTCCACACATTCCTTCATTTATTGAAGAATTAACTAACGCTGTACACTGTCTCAAGGCCATATGTAATTTTGGTTGAGGAATTGAGTCTACATAATAAACTCCAGTATATCTAAAAATTTACATAGGTTCAGAACAGAAGCAACAAAATTAAAATGCATATAAAAATATAAATCGATGTTTTCGTTAGCACTATATTTCTATCTATACCGTAAAAGATTTTCTTTCATCTTATAAGAGAATTCCGTATCGATCTAGACTCGAAGTACATCTATTTAGCTGTTGTACTGGTAATAAATGTTATACTCAAAAATAGCAGCACAAAATAACAAGTTTATTACCTCAGGTCCTATTATAACGAGATAAATTGACGGATCTTTCCGATGCCATTCTGTAAAGTGTCGAGATAGGATATTCTAAAATTAGCTTCTAACAATCGTGCAACAAGTTACTATTTAAATAACCTGAAACAGCATCAGCTAAGAATAGAGGATCTTTTATTGGTCGTATGCCAGCAACTAATAGAAAGATAGTCTATACAGGATTGAAAATTTTCAACTTGGTTAAAATCATGCAAAATTGCATATTGGGCATGGTAGTTGATGATAGTCCGTTGTTTTATAAGTCTATATCTCTCATTCAGGTTGCAACAGAAACTTTATCGGTATTTTTGTTATTAAATATTCACCACTAATTATAGTATTCATAACACTGAGAGACTATTACAATGTGACTTAGTACTCGATTAATCTTACGATGTTTTGTAGATTTTGTTCTTGCATGCCTAGGAAGAAAATTCAAAATTAATGCGGTGGTGACGGACTGTTTATAAGCGAGTAACATTCCATTGATAACTGATTTATTGTTATCAAACTTAAAAAATTCCAGCTAAAGGATGAGTTTGGTACATTATCAGAACCGAGCAAAAAATTATAGCAGGAAGCAAATATAATATTGTAATATTTATAGAAACATGATTAAATGTTCTATTAAGATCCATTGTCTTAAAGGTTACTTACCCAATTTCTCTTGTAAATGGGCTTTAAAAGAAAACGTATTTTGTGGGTTTGTAACAACACCTTGAAGGTAGATGTAAAAAAGGGTTTATGGAAATATTACTGGGAGTAGGGAATCAATTAAGACTGTAGTCTTTACACAGTTATAAGAAATGAATATTTAAATTTTAATCATCTACATTACGTTAGTATTACTAGGCTATGTCTTACTTTGTGGTTGTTTAATAATGTTATTTATTTGTGTTGGCTACATATTCCGGGATCAGAAAATATATCATGGTACAAATATATATAACATTTGTTTAGATTGCAATATTTTTAAGGTTATATAAGAAAACTTATTTTATCCTCTCACCCATTGAGCCATAGCTAGATTAAAATGAGAGCGGGTAAACGCAATTAAGTATCTGTAGTAGACAAAAATAAACTGAGTAATTCTCTTATGTAATATCGGAAATAATATCCTATCAATCAATAATCTGTTTTTTAATATATTTATACTGCACTAACAGTAATCCACAAGAATACAAACCGAAAGTAGCTCAATTTTATTGATATACGAATAGCTGTACAATTCTGACTAAATATATGTACTAACTAAATACCTTGTAAAAAATATATCAAAAAAAGTGCATGCAATATGAAAAGGAATGATTCTGAAAGTTTAGTTAATTTCTCGAGGTTAGATTTCATACTAACATCAGTTATATCACAAATTAATTACAATTTATTAGTACCTAGCCCCAAGAACGGCTTCAGTGATAATAGGCATTTTCTTAGCATCGTGAATGTGCGTGTTCAGGTCAGTACCTGCAAAAACTATGGCATATGGTAGGCAGCAGCCTAGAAGAAAGTAGACGTAATTGTGCGTGCTTGTCAAAAATATTAGGAATACATTGGCAAGCTACTAGCGCTATTAGTTAACTCAGAATCTTTACCTGTATCATTACTTAGAGTGATCAATCAATTATTGTAAGTAGGATTACATTAAAATTTCAATAGAGTTAATCGATATTATTTGGATTCGAAATGGAACTGTAGTATTTTATAGTCACAACAACAAATTATATATAAGCTTATTATCTTTCTGGCTTTTAATACGTCTACTCTCAGACACGGCGAACAGTTCATTATTTATTCCTTTACAGTATAATACGATAGTTACAATAAGGATTCTTTCGTAGTTTGGCTTACTAATCAACAAATTGCCAGTTCGATAAGCATGAATGCCAATAACACAATTAAAATGATTTCCTTGGAGGTAATTGTTTAGTGATGGTGCACCAGTAAAGTCAGCGATTTGTTTACATGTGCATCCGATTCCTGCATGGTTTAAAAGTTTCCTAAATAAGCAGATATTATAATTCATCAATGCGTGTCTAAAACCACGGTCTACTAGAATTTCCTAGTTAAAACATAGGCGAAAGTGAATACAAACAAATTTTCTAAATGAGCCATTATAATTCATCAATGTACAGTAAAGTACAGTATATCTAAAATACGGATTTAGAGAATACACAACAAGTCAATTTCTAGAGACTCGACGATTTATTGGCTAGGTAAATTTCTCCAATACAAGAAGACATGTTACTCAGAATGACCCTGGAATACAGACTAATGTTCTACCTATTTTTACTACATTAATGGTCTAGTGATTTTTAAGTCTGTTCTATAATTATAATCTATCAGCAATTACAACAATATAGCACAGAATCACAAAGTGATGATCAGCCTCATTGAATGATAATATTATTGTTAAGATTTCAAGAGTTTTCGTGAAATAATTTTGAGGTGCTATTAGATTAGATTCTATTTCAGTGCATGATCATACTAAGATACTATACACTGTTCTGTACAGTATGCACTATCTTAGTATGATCATTCATAACCCCTACATTGAATTTATAAACGAAATACCTAAGACAACTAAAACTGAATAATCTAATTAGTTATAACCGAACCTTTCTTAGCTCTACGTATAGTACTGTACGTAGAATATCAAGAAATTTACGACAGATCCTAATGCTTTACATTCAATCAACTGTCAATGATAAATATCCATATATTATTAGTAGATAAACGCTTGTGAAAGTAATAGTAAATACACACACAATTATCATTAGTAATACTGAGGTAGTTTAACGTTAACGTACGTGTAAGATATTCATTGTAAATATCTTAATTTCCTTATTACCTCAACCTTTCAGAAGTTGATGAATTTCCGCACTCCTTTCCCTTCGAGCTGTATAACAGCAAGACAGAAGGCATCGTCAATAAGAAAAATGAAATTACTTTTTACCAGAAATTATATAGTTATAGATAGTTATTAACTCATCTGCTGCCTACAGCAGTATTGTTAATAACAGCGCCGACGGGTAACAGCTGCAAATTAACTGAGTGTCTAATCTAACCAGGCCGCAAGTTTGGTAATCTCCAGTAGTGTGCAAAATGAATTGTCATGTTATTTTCATCTTTACTTTGTCTTTTACTAAGCTATTAAAGAAGAAACGGTTCATGGGGTGACAACTAACTTTGCACAGTGCCTAATTCATATGCAATCTTTGATGAACCGAATGAATCTAGGTAACACAATCGACAACACCCTCAAATTCAATCAATCAAAGCTGCTACGCTTGTACTGAAAGAGAAGACAAGCTGCTACGCTTGCGTAGCAGCTTGTCTTCTCTTTCAGTACAGTACAGTACGTACTGTACAAGTGTACATCCATGAATTACTGTACAGTACTGTACTGTATCGTACTGAGTGTGAACCAGTTCGAATCAGAGTACTGTACTTTAAGGTATCCTAAAATCACGAGTGTGAATCAAAGTGTAATAAGAATTATAAGAATGTAAAGCTGAATAATTTTTAAGAGACTATACAGTACTCCAATTAGAACTTAGCAAAGAGATTAAACTAACTTGCGTAGGAGAAATGCTTGCTACTACTAAATGAGTATAGTTATTCTTAGTACGTCTAAATTTTAAGGGATTGCGTGAATAATATGAACTCTTGGTGATTCTTTAACTCTTAGTCTTCCCCCTCTTGTGCACAGTTCTCAAATTGCAAATCTATGTTGTTGTTTTTCTTGAATTTTCCATGTAGTCTTCAGTGAATAATTAATTACTTGTAAAGATCACGGGATCTTGGATGTTACACTATCACTGCAAATTTAGACCGGTCAAATCCTCTCGGCTCTGCAATAACGGTAGCTAATAGTAATGATAAATACTCTTTGAGAAACAAAACTATAATAATATCAAAGATCATTCTCTCATATTAACAACATTTATATTTAAATGAAAGGAGAATGAAATAGTATTTATAATTCGTCAAGCTTTAACTTGAATTGCTGACATACATGTACGAGTATAAGAGTAATACGATTATAAATTATGCAGGCGGCAGCTCAAGCCATCATGAAAAAAAATTCCAAGACATTTTCATAGCGTTATTTGCAAGAGTTGCGGTAATGGTTATGTTAAGGTGATTTAATAATTATGTATTCGCGAATCCAGTACGAAAGATAAAACTCATGCAAACCTTCGTTCTGCAGATCAATGGAGTAAAACAATTGGAAATAGCAACGCTTCCACTAAGATATGTCTAAGCATCATTGAATAGTTATTTTGGAAGCTAAATATTAAAATTATATTGACTTTATTGTGTTATTTTCTTAAAGAGCCATATAAGCTGCGGCTTGTATCAGACGCTTAGCTTGGGAGACGTCAAATACTGGACCGTAAATAATAATATATCGAGGTACATCAGTATTTCTTAGCAACGAATTAAGTATACAATATTACGTAAGTAAAAGCAAAGGATGTTTAGCCCTTCTAGTTGCTCTACCACATAAAACGGTTCGATAAATTTCATAAAAATTTGTCTACTATCGAATATTGTATAAGCAACGAATTAAGTGTAGAGCATTACGTAAGTAATAGCAAAAAAGGATGGTTAGTCCCTTATAGTTGCTCTACCATATAAAACAGTCCGATAAATCCCATAAGAACTTGCCTATTATCGAATAGTGTCGCAGTTGAATTCCTGCTTTTTATACGCGTCAGCAATTTCGTAAAAATAGAATATGGTAGTTTACTAGTCTAATCCAATTTTTTAAATGAGTAACAGATTCATTAAATATATCTATATCTTTTATCGCTGCCTTTATAAAAGCAAAGTTATAATCTTATGAATCACTAAAACTACAAAGTATAAAGTTGTTACTATATAATACTTGATCTTATTTTTTCGAGCCAGCTTTACTAACGATTTCATCCCAGTCTGGCCAAACATTCTCTTTTATGCGTTCAAAGTAAGTTGCAAGATTAGGAAATTCGTTCCTTACCATTTCAGCCGGCCAACTATCTTTACGCAAACCATGAAGAACATTGGCAAGAAAAGCAAACACACAAGCATCGATTGTAGTCGGTTTATCACCAAAAAAAAACTGCTTGTCCTTAAGCAGATCCGAGAGCGCTTTAATGTCACCTCTAGCTATGTGCTGAATCTCTTCTGCGGAATGCCTACCAATTCCATGGCCGTACATGCTTTTCTTAATTGCAGGTACAACAGCCATCTTTAATATCCGGCCAACAAACCAGGAGAGCTTCATCATCTGACGGAAATAATCGGTATCTTGAATCCAACGATTATAGATGATTGCAGCCCTATAGTTATATAATCAATGATAAAATTATTACGGATCCACTACTACAGTTGGCTATTAGAAATTTAAGACCAAATAGACATACAATAGATCGCCATTTTAAGATAGGGACTGTCGTAGACTCAAAAATAATTGCATTACATTATAACATATTAAAAATTTGCCTACTTTATTGCCAATACAATTTTATCTTAATTCGATTGAAACCTGTTTTTCGTATCACTATCGTTATAGCCGCTACATTAGGTTCATTTACAGGTAATATTTAACGCGTGCAGCATCGTTAGTTAATATGGTTGGAAATAATACAAGCTGTAGTAAAGTAAACTATGCCGATTCGTTACAAGCTTGTTTAATTTTAGAATAAGCCTGAAGTTAATTAGATGTATAGATGTAAAGCCTCTAATGATGTTGTCCTAAGGTACAACAAGTCACTCTGTTTGAATTCAATCTAGAATTCGTAGCTTGCGTATCTCCAATACACAGACTAAAGGCTTGCAGATAGTACGCTTTACATTACATAAAATACTGTATATACTTACACGGATTATATAATTATAGCAAGCGATCGCGGTTGAAGTCAACTGTATAATAAAAAAATTAACTTACCATACTGTATTCTCTTCAACGGTCTTCTGAATAACTCGAGCTACGGCCTTTTGTTCGTCGCTTAGATGGCTATCAATTTGAACGTTAAATCTTTCCGTTAAAAACTCAATGATAAATGTAGAATCACAGTAGTCTTCTCCATCAAGCTCAATCCATGGCATCTTATTTTTTCTACCACACGGATTTTTCAAATCGTGGACAAATTCGATGTTAGCCATTCGTAAAAAGGTTTGTAACTTCAAGACGAACGGTGATGGATTGACTACAGTACTCCCAGCTCCAGCGCCATGAAGGACGACTAACCCTGGCTTAGCTAAGGCACTTTTAGGGAATGATTTTGGCTTTTTTTTGCTCATGTATAAATAACCTCCGACACATAAAACTATTAAAGATCCCACTGCAATCGGATTGCTGCTGGCGAAATTTATGGGCGACGACAGGTCAAAGTTCATCTTGTTTAACTTTATTGTTGAGTACTGTAGTGTCTCAGGTAGTGTACACTGTACAGTACAGTAATGCCGGCTATGCTTTTAAATATTATTATATTTAGTGTTAACTTATTACAGTATATCAGAATACCCAATGCAAGATCTCCCAAGGGTGTATAGTACTGAAGACACTCAACACCTGACTTCCGTAGGCCAATAAATAATGATGAGTCGTATTCTGGTTACCGTCTGCCGGTTACAAACACTGTTAGAACGCCCGTATTAACCTAGCACAATAAATACGAATATTGAAGTAAAATTAAAATAAAATTTAATTTAACTTGTACGCGTACGAAAAATGCAATGAGTGGAACTCTCATTACACCATGCGTACAGTACATGCATTGCGTGTTTTATAGATCTTATTGCACACAGCTTCGCAGTTAATCCTTTTGCTTTATTATTAGAACAGTGCTGAATCATTTCCAACATTACTTACAACAATCTCAAGAGCTAGAGACTGTCGTAATCTCCACGATCAACAATGCACTTATGCAGTTGTTAACAGGTGTCAATAGGACTCTGCATTGCTGATACTAGTAGAATTTGAGTAATGTGAATACTGGTGAGCTATAAAATAGTCCAATGATACGGTACGGAATTAAAAAACAAATTATACTATACAGTACAGTATGTATAAATCACTTCATACCTGAATCCTCGATCCTTAAAGTTAAATGCAGACTAACGAACAGGTAAATGATTTTGAGCTTCTTCTTTACAGATAGTATTGCTATAATTTCACAAATTGCCTTTGACTACATATAACAGCAGCCAAAACTTTTTGACTTCGTAAGCTCAGACAGGAATGGACAATGGACACTCCTGCGGGCGGACGGACACTTGGCCTTATTTCGTCAACAAATTAAGTCATATACCTCGTTATGACTTCAGTATGAAGACAGTCGGTTCTGAATTGACTGATTTTTTTCTAAAAGTAAGTAAGTAATATTACTTACTAATACATAGTAATTTACGTTCCATTGCATTGCCTGTTGCTAAGCTCTACTGAGAGTACAGACTGTAGTTTACGGCTGTGTACCCGCAACTCATGCCAGATAGTGCCTTCCTACAGTATTTCTAGTGGTCCATGGTCTAGCTTACGTGATTAGTCACGGACCACGTTAAGAAAACCTACTTCTATTGATCTGTGGGTTATGTGCGTTATTCTAGCTTTATACTAAATATGGTACGAGTATGCCAAGTATCATGAGCAGTTGTACCGATAGGTGTATTTAACCATGACCAGAATCATAACTTGTCTCTACCGTATTAATTTTATTTTAATACACGAGTAGAAAATTTACAAATTATTTTGTCTAATACAAAATGGGGCTAAACTTGGTTACATTTTTAAACATAGATTCACAGTCAGTAAGAATTTTAAAATGGCTCTCAAAATTTAGTGCCCTCAGCTATAAAGGAGCCGGTGATCAAATTATACATAATTGTAATCTGAAATAAGTCGGCCATACATTATACATAGATTAACATTTCTTTATCAGAAACAGCTGTAGCATAGCATACTTACTACAACATGGACCTCGGTAGATGCTTTATGGTAAAGCATGTAGTGGTCCATAGCTACATCACACTTCACTAACCAACTTTTCTACATTACTAAAAATTGCACAAACATGGACTACTATATGCACCGGTATAACCGTACATTCGTACTAGTCCGTGACACAAATATGGATGAGGCTTTTTCAAGGTCATATAATTAATTGATCTTAGAGCTGCAGTGTCCTCTTCATGATAGCAATTTACGATAATTTTTCAAGCTAACGTTATGCTTTGCTAATAATTTCGTCCCAATCAGGCCAATAATTCTCTTTCATACGATTTGTAAATGCTACAAGATTCGGAAATTCGCTTTTGATCATTTCATTTGGCCAGCTTCCAGGGCGTAACCCATATATAATATTAGCAGTAAAGGAGAAAACACACGCATCTATTGTAGTGGGTTGATCACCAAGAAAGAACGATTTATCTTTAAGCAGGGCAGACAGAGCTGCCAGATCGCCTCTGGCAATGTGCCTAATCTCTTGGGGTGTGTGTCTGCCGATACCATGTCCGTACAAGTTCTTCTTAACTGGAGGAACAAAGAATAACTTGAATATTACCCCAACAAACCAGGGAAATTTCATCATGTTTAGAAACCAGTCAGCCTCCTCAATAAGGCGATTATAAATTATTGTAGCCCTATAAATTAACAGTCAAATATTACTGTACAATATGACATATATATATACAATGAAATGTAAAGTTGTAGCTAGATGCGTATATACACGTTTACGTCATATGTATAAGCATACATGTTACACGCATAGATATATTAAAATAATTAATTAATATAACTACCATGCATTCTAAATGAGCCTGGTCGTAAACATCATAAAAAATCAGCTTAATTTGTAGTACCAGATTGTATTCTCTTCAATCGTTTTCTGGATAACTCGAGCCACTGCTTTTTGCTGCTCGCTAAGGCTACGGTCAATAGATACATTGAATTTTTTTGTCAGATGTTCAATTATAAAAGTAGAATCGCAATAAGCATCTCCATCAAGCTCGATCCAAGGCATTTTCCCCTTTCTACCCATAGGGTTATTACGATCAAATACATATTCGATCTTTGCCATTCGTAGAAATGTTTGCAGCTTTAACACATAAGGTGATGGATTGACAATTGAACTGCCAGGGTTAGCACCGTGAAGGACAACCAAACCAGGTTTAGCCAACGGACTTTTAGGAAATGATTTAGATTTGGAGTTACGACCACCTGTTATATAGAAGTAGCAGCTTCCAATGCCAATAATAGTAATGGCAATGACTGGATAAGGGTTCTTTCCAAGAAAATCTGTAATGTAATCTATATTTGATGTCATATTTATACGATGTAGATTCGTAGATGGAATGGAATAAGATTATTATAGGAGTATATTAAAGTTTGAACATGAAATGGATGCAGCTAATAGCTTAACTTATAGATGTTGCTGATGTTAATGCAGATAACAAGATGCGAGCTCGAATAAAACCAGCAATAAAAGGATATGAGGAGTATCTTGAAATGCTCTCAATAAATATCTATGCTATAAGCCAATACATATTGTTTATATAATAATGACATCATCGGTTTTGCATCATTCTTAAAATGCGTACTATCACTACTATGCACACACATGTACGTATTGTAAGCGTATGATGTAAAGTTACGAGTGTTGCACGGTAGTGTACAATATACAGTACTATACCATTTATTAATTAATTTTATTGATTAGTCAATTTTATAGCGTTATGTATATGACTTGTAATATATATGTTCTTCCCTGTCTAAAATTATTATGATAACTACTTGTATTAAGTATAATTATGAGATATATGTACAGTATATTGATAATACGTAGCAATACGCAATCTATTTGAACTGTTCGAATAAAATGCAGTAGATACAGTTTACCGCACTCATATACAATACATGATTTTATAACGTATTAACGTATATTCGTAAACAAAACAAGAGTCATTCAAATGAAGTAATGATTTCGTATTAGATCATTTGCAGTAAGCAATAGCGAACGTGATCATATCTTTAAATTAATATAATAATAACTTTATGCACATTCTTGACTGGATTTGCTCAGAATAATTTGAGAAATTTCATACATGTCATGTTTAGTGCCAACGAGGCAGGTGCTGATTGGCTGTCTAGCAGCGATGTGTAACCAACGTAGTTATTCGACGTTTATTTATCTAGTAATTTATCTGTAAATAAGTTTAACTGAGCGCTTGCTGCTGCATAACTTATTAAAAACTATTTAATTTTACTAAAATTAGATTAGGGCATGATTACAGAACAAGCCAACAAGAAACGCTTGCTCATTGATCTGGTCCTAATGATTTTCCTAATTTTTTCGGTTAAGTGGGAATTAGGCCAATGAACAAACGTTTCTTGTTGTCTTGTAATCATACCCACCTTTCTTATTGCTTTATAATCACACCCTGATCATGCTCTAATCATGCCCCCTTGTAATCATGCCTTATTGACTGCTGCACTGTGCTCTAACAGAACCATAGGCACATTTAATTTTCCATATTACAATCTATATAATATGATCTAAATGCTTACTGTTACATAATTTTAATTACTATTACTGTGACAGGGTCTCAAGTGAACATTGTATTGACGAAAGAAACAGATCGATATATTGCAGTTTATACTCAAGCCAAAATAGATTGAGCAGATCTAAGTTATTATTTATTTACTGTGCTCTGTGAAATACAGGACACTGCTGTGTAGTGTAATACTGTATACTTAACTGTGTGCGTAATTTGATCTTCACTTAAAACTAAAACTAAATACAGCTCATAGATAGATGGCGTTTGATGTATCCCAAATTGTTGAATACGTCCTAAATCACCCAGTAGGTACCACTGTAGTAGCTATGTCATGTATGGCATCATTAGCAACTTACTATGGCTTTACAAGGAATAAATGCAAAGAATATATGAGCCCACTGGCAAAACCGGGTCTAGTAGTTCTTCACGGTGATGGACCTTGCCCTGTGATAGTTAATCCGTCACCATTTGTGTTAAAGCTCCAGACATTTCTTCGTATGGCTAACATTGAATTTGTACATGATCTTAGACACCCCTTCGGTAGAGAAAATAAGATGCCATGGATAGAGTTGGATGGCAAAAGCTACTGTGATTCTACGTTTATAATGGAATTTTTAACAGAACGATTTAATGTTCAAATTGACGATCACCTAGATGCCGAGCAAAAAGCATTGGCTCGTTTTATATTAAAGACTGTAGAGGAAAATACGATATGGTAAGCAATTTCTAGTACCATTTCTAAAGATATAAAGTTTTTTAGAACACTGTAATAAGTACGAGCTGATCAGTTTGATCTAGGAGTATTCCATTTATATAATTGCCACACTGCACGAGTGGTAAAAATCAGATTATTGTAATACGAATAGCTTTTCTGTTTTGTAAATATGCGCGCAAGTGTACAGTATTAATTCGTTATGATAACTCAAAACTTTTACCTACAACATTTAGGGCCGTAATTGTATATAATCGCTTTATCGAAGATTTTGAATGGTTCGGCAAGTGTGTGCCCCTACCATGGTTCAAGTACTACGTCTTTAAATTGATGATAATACCTTACGTAAAAAAATGTATGTATGGTCACGGCATGGGAAGACATTCCCCCGAAGAAATCCGACATATTGCAAGAGGTGATCTTATGGCCCTCTCTATCACCTTAGGAAATAAGCAATTCTTCCTCGGTAACGATCCTACAACAATTGATGCCTGTGTTTTTGGTTTTATCGTAAACATTCTTTCTGGCTTAAGTGAAGACAGTTGGCCAAATAAGATGGTTAGGGAAGAATTTTCAAATCTTGTTGCGTTTTCTGATCGCATGAAAGCGAGATTTTGGCCTGACTGGGACGAAATTACTGCTAGCTGTAAATCTCATTAATATTCTACCGGTATCACTTTCAACTGCAATTTCATTATTGTGTAGGTTTCATAAAATAAAAACGATAAAGACTCGATGGTACCTGAATAATTAATCATCATAAGCCTACTGCGATTTGTTGCATTCAATGGAGTTAGAAGATTACGTAGCATGCATGTACAATATTATATTGTATATAATGCAGTCACATTAATTTAGTTAAAAAATTGTATAGGCCGATGGCTGGTGAACCTTAATATTTCAGAGGATTTTTTTTCACTATATAAGGAAGGTTAATTTTTAGAATTCTCTTTCAAGTTTTTGTATTTTAATAAGTATTGCAACCTTAAAAATAGCTTAATTTGGCTTAACTATTGTAGCTTTTACTTGATATAGTAGTATATTGTAAATCTGACTCCTTTATTCAGGTTAGAACTTACGCATTTTCTATGGCATATTTTTGTTAAAAGTCATACGATGTTAGATAGTAATTTCATACTTTTTTTATAGTTACACTTCTTTATATACCGTAGAAAGATGCAGTTTGTAGTTAAGTTACGATCATTATTAATTTAGTAATACTAGTCCTACAACACGTCGCTTTGCTATTTCGGGAATCTAGAATGCAATTTATCTGATGATGTGTTTAATTGCTAGTTTTATTTACAATGCTTTAAAATGACAATTTGATAATCTGGTACCACTAACTGCTCTGCGTAGCATATAAAAAGTGGCGTAGTTCTGTAGTAAAGTAATTCAAGTTTTAGTTCAAGGTAGGAAATATAAAGAAGCTCAGAATACTGTGAGCAAATTTTTTTGATAGTTTAGTTAGTTGAGGCAGTAGTTCTTTTAAAGTGAGCTTATAACTTGTTTCTTAAAGTTTAAATAAGGTGGTGCTTCCTCCTGCTTTAGTTGGAGATTTCAAAGTGATCGTTCAAGTAAACACTTTTGCCATTATTACTAGTGTGCATAATAAAGTCTAATTTAATTGCAACGAAACTATTTTTATGTATATTAATGTAAACCTCGCATGTATGAGTAATTACTGCGAAAATAATCTCCACATAACGTTACATAAAATGCCTGTAGTAAAAGCATGCTACAAACTCAAGTACGTTATTTTAAGTAATTTGACAGACGAAGTCTTTCTAATCCCTTTCCATAAGCATTAACTGTAATTTTTTTTACTACAAGTAAATTTATGCTGTACTTAAGCTTAGTTGATAAACTGTAGTTAAGTAAAGGTAGCTGACTGCTTTGCAACTGCTAAGGATTGTACTGTATGTTAGGTAACTCAAAATAAAATATAGAAAGGATAATAGAAAAGCCTATTCGAACTCGTAAATGTTATTTCTGATTAAAATTTCTCCCTGTTTATTTATTTGTGTAATACATATATATATTGATTATTGGTTGGAGTCTCGTGCTATTTCTACAGTCCACAGCCTGGTTCAATTTCAAGCTAAGTAATCCTACTATAACATTACTATATTTTAAAATTTGATTTGTAGAATTTTAAAAACGTTCATAGCCTACATCTAAACACCATTAGTGACTCCTTAACTTGAAAATATGATTATGACAATTGCAAAAATATTATAAAAATCCAATTGCTATATTTGCATGTACTGTATATACTCGTACAATTCAAATTCAATGAAATGAAATGAAAGGATAGTATCGGCATAAACCGTCTATCATTAGAACGTTTTACAGTAGAATCAGTTCATCATTATAACGAACAACGAATTCTTAAATTTTAATTTTAATACGGTATGAATACTACTACAGAGCATCTTGCATGTTTTTTTAAAAAGCAAGTAGCAATATTAATAGTTTACACTATAATCGTCCCTTCTAGATAAAAACGAACCAAATATTACTAAAAGCAAGCAACTTGACGTTATAATAATATTAATATAGAGAGTATAACAGTAGAGCTGAGAGTAGAGTCACAGAATAAAAGATTTTGACTAGTATAAATTGCAAGCCTCTTTATCGCGTATTTTCACGTCACAAATTTCGATTATTAATACTTGATCAGCAAAAGGAAGGTAAAGTTAGGCAGTACAGTAGTACATAGTTTCTTGCTGAATTGAGCCATAAAAAGGTTAGTTTGTTTATTATGTTAAATGCTAGCATAAAGCACGATTTGTTAATTACACAGTAGCTGTGAAGGTCAGCAATTTATAGCTATTGTACTAAATATCTATGCTTAAGCTTAATAATGTATGAACTTTAAATTCGACAATGGATAAGACTCTCAGTAATTCGTTTAGTAACAGTGTTCGAACTGGAGGCGATAAAGCATCTGATACTGCATACAAAATTCTGTAACCCTAATCTCAATATGTCAACATGAAATAGTTCACTCGCGGTTAACTTGAATCTGAAATCCAGATTGCTTGTATTACTGTGTTGGAGCTCTGCAAATTCTCCTAAATTAATTTGCACTTATTCGCATGGGTTGGTATTATTTATCTAAGACCAAGCACCCTATCTACAAGAACTCTATGCTTTTTCAATTAGTTGATCCCAGTCTGGCCAATATTTTTCCTTCATACGTTCGAAGAAAGCTACTAGATTGGGTGCTTCCTTCTTAATCATCTGATTCGGCCAGCTTCCATTCCGTAAACCACAAAGGACATTAGCTAAAAAGCCAAACACTACAGCATCGATTGTAGAAGGTTCATCGCCAAGAAAGTACTTTTTGTCGTTAAGGAGGTTCGACAAGGCTTTAACATCACCTTTAGCAATGTGTCTAATTTCTTCAGGTGAATGTCTACCGATTCCGTGCCTATTCATACTTTTCTTAATAGAAGGAATGATTGCTATCCGAAAAGCAATACCTACAATCCAGGGTAAATCGCTCGTTTGTCTAAACCATTCAAAATCTTCAACAAAACGAGGATATGCAATCATTGCCCTAATAGTGCATTAATACGATAGAGTGAGAATGAGTTCGTGAATAGCTATTACGCCTCTATATCTTCAATTAGAGAAATTATGGTATTTATATGTAGCACATAATTAGCTAATGGAACCATAGAGAGTAATAAATTGATATACGCGTATACGCATATTTTCCCACTGTATCACAATAAAAATAATTCCTAGACTTCATCAATCATTTCTGTAGATAAAGAATTAGCTCAGGAAGTACAGGAAACATGGAAGTTTTCTCAATTTAGTATACAGTGATTCTATCATTAGCATACGCAAATATAGCTATAACTCAAATTATCATATAGGTACATGAACTTTATGATTACCATTACTTACCATAATGTATTTTCTTCGATAGTCTTCTGTATAACACGGGCCAACGACTGTTGTTGTTCATTAAGATTATTGTCAATTTTTAAATTAAATCTTTCTCTTAAAAATTCGATGATAAATGTGGAGTCGCAATAATCTTTCCCGTCCAGTTCAATCCATGGCATTTTGCCTTTACGACCAAAATGATTCTTCGGGTCATGAACGTATTTAATATTCGCCATTCGTAGAAAAGTTTGTAGCTTAAGGACAAAAGGGGATGAACTGACGACAGTCTTTGTCGGTCCAAAACCATGCAGAACTACCAAACCAGGTTTTGCAAGGGCACTTTTAGGGAAAGATTTACTATTTCTGCGTTTTGTTAAATAAAAACATCCACCGAGGCAGAAAGCCACCAAAGCGGTTGTTTTATAAGGTCGGGCATATACATATTGTGCAACGCTGGATAACTGAAACACCATGTCGGGAAAATAACACCTTAAAAAGCTATATTTTGAGAACAAATTAAAAGCTGCAACGCCTTTAAAAAAAGGATTTAAAGGAAATCCTAACCTGTACAGTGTACAGTACGGTTAAAAGTCTTCTGATTACGCTGTCCACTACTGCACGGACTACTGTACAGTACTACACTGCATTGTACTGTACGCTCAGTACTGTACAGTACAGCAAGAGAATAAATAAGAAGTTAGCGAAAAGGAATCATTAACCTATTGCTCTCTTTGCATATGAGAATTGAACAGCAATCATGAAATCATGATGCCCGGTACATTATTAGGTAACTAATACGCAACAACAGAAGCTACCCGGTGTGTTTACGTTGTCATCATGACCTCAGCATATAACTTTTCTGAAACGGATACTTCCGATGATAACGGAGAAGAGCTAGCAAAACTCCAAGAAGCGTGCATAAGTCTACCGGACGGTAAGCAATGAGACACTTGAATTGTGCAGAACTGCAGAAGCTCTCATTGCTGTTTTGCAAGTGTACTGTAAAATGATCTTTATTTGTATATGTGTGTATATATGCCTAGATTGTATTACGCATAAATAGTACTGTATAGAAAAAGAATGGTACATCTAGCAGTCCATGATTAAAGCTTCATTTCTAATGTTCATAAAATTCACATCAAGAAATAGTCTTGAGTTAACTCTTGCAACCTGTTAAACTCTTGAATAGTACAGTAATGACAAGTAAACTGATTACATTTTAACAGTATCGCGTATTGCTATAGCTATCAATCATAAACTATTAATTATAGTTAAATTGTTGCTAAGTATGTTATCGATATACTGTATAATAGTGTATATAGGTACTGAGCATTTATTTGTACTCGTATGGTACTATTAAGATCATTATACCATTTTTGCAATCGCTCGTATTGAAATGTTGAACTCCTTTTTTTATGTAGGAACTGAAATCAAGAGAGAAAATGAAATATCTAGTAACCGACGTAAAAAGTAGGTGAAAAACATGTAAACCAATTTTATGTCAAACTGCACCTATAAATATGCTATCATGTTGAGAATAGGGTAATAAATAAATAAATTAATTAATCTAGATAACGATAATTGTCAGTCCTACTACTTTGCTACGCTCTAGATTAAATGATATTGTGCTCATGGAGAAAATTAGAAAGATATAGGAACTAGAGATTATGTAATATCGCTTAATAAATATACTGTAGAAAGCAAGATTTAAAAAAATACAAACTGATACCTAATATTAATTTATCCATACATACTGGGTATATCATGCAGGAACACTGATAAATCACAATCTAGTCATCATGCCTGGCAACTAGATGCTAGCCGAGGATTGCAGGATCATGTTGCCAAATTATTAGACGGGTTTGTACAGTAAGGCACTGAACATTGCTATGCCGTTAGTAATGCGAGGAATGGTATTAAATTAACGTCTTTCGCATAAAAGATGAAAATTTCTTAGATAATAAAGCAAAATCATAGTATTGTTACGCAACAAATGCGGGATATTAAAATAATTATTTGAAAACTTTTTTTACTTTTTAGGTATTTCGAAGCCAATTATGATTTCAAAGGTTAGATATGATATATGATATAGTATATAAATACAACGGCAATTGATGCTACACACGTATGGCTGATTGAACGTTTAGTATACGTATAAAAGTTGAAACCTATATATATGTGCTAATATTTATTGCCGAACATATCATTATCGTAACCCAATAACTATCGTTCAATTACTCATGCATGTTATACTATAGTATTAAATTGATATATGCAGTACAGTATAGGCATAGGACCCGATCAGGTCCCGAACCTTCAGTCTAACCAAAAGTAGAACACTGCCATACGTACAATACGATACAGAACGCGTGTGATAGGTTCGGATATGTTTATGATACGTATATACACGTATGCACACTTTTGAAAGTGAACGTGTACAGCACTAAAGCTCATACTATGCTTTAGACTTATAATAAAATAAAGCTTACTTCAAAGTATACGACTATTCTTCGTATTTGGTAATATTTCAAATATTTCAAATTCTCTTTTTAAGTACACCTGATAAATATTCATTTGCGTTAATGTAAGCTAGCATGCCATGCATAGTCTTCTTTAATATTAAAATGTTATCAGTATTGCAGGGATGCTACCGCAATATTAAGATAAAATAGAGTTACGGTAGAAAGAAGTGTCAAAGAAGTTATTTTTGTTATGAGCTCGGATAGAACTTCGTGCATGCTCCACCTAAAAGAGATTCAAAGTTACGATAACATATCTATTGAATCGGATATACCAGTATTTCATGTAATTGATAGCTCCACAGCAGAAAATGATTAAATTTCTTTTCTAATTTTGGTTTAATTTGTAAATAGTATCAAATCCGGACCTAAAAACAAGTCAAGACGAAGGTTCCAATGAAGGTATGTGAAGGAGTTTAACATCAATTACAGATAATCCGTCTTGGTATCTGCGTCCTCCTGAACATACACTTTTTAGGATTTGCCACAGTCACTGGATTATATATGAGTATACGACTCATGCAAATAAATTAATTATTATTGCTAGGTATTTATTTGTTTAAGAATTCAGAGGTAAAGTTGAACGAAAGCGACGCGTTGAACGTTAGCAATAGAAAACCTATTCGCAAGAAACGACTTAGCAGTCAAAAATTCAGCACGGAAGATTTCAACTCTAGGTAATGATTCTGAATGAATCTGTATACCTACAGTAGATAAAATGATTTTTGCCTCATTTCACTACTGATTGTTCTTACTATAAAAAATTTCTGAACTAGTCATCCAATGTAATAATTCTTTGTCCATCATCTCTTAGTGACGATTCCGAGGAAATTATCAAACTGAAAGCAGTTGTTGTATCCGGCGATAGAATACTTAGCCAAAGCGCAATTCATATAGCTGGTCCTGATAAGGTTCTATAGTAAAACTAAATTTTGCTACTTTTCGACCTTTGTGTTAACTTATAATTTTATGAAATGTACTAAATGCAGAATTTTTCAATATCTACAGGAGTTATCGAATTCTGAAAATGGTTCAAATGACTTCGCTGAGATTATTAGCCGTGAAGGTTTGTGCGATAATTTTATGCTGAATCGATATTTTAAACAGCAATAGGTAATAAATCTTAATTTTAATTTACACGTAATTGCTTATTATAAACCATGACTAGCATTCGACATTTAAATATGTTACCGTACTTTTTTGAATGGATATGCTTAGCTCATAAAAGGAAAAAGATTAAGCACGACAAAAAGTCAAAAAAGAAAAAATTAGAGAAAAAGAAGAAGGAAAAAAAGAACAAATGCTAACTCTTAAGTTACTCAACGTTTAGAATAGATTAAAACAGGATTTCTAGCGGTAGCATAATTTAATTAAAAAAATGTTAAATAGATTTTATTTTATCAGCACTACTGTAAATAGTTATCTAATTAAAATTTTATACATAGAAAGAAAAATTTTCCGTAGATTGAGATATCAATTGTTAGGAGGCTGTATTAATATCCAAGATCGGAAATTTACAATATGGCAAAGTAATCTCGGAAGATATCTTGACTTTTTGATTTCATATGAGTTAAAACAATGTGATACAAATCGATGTCTATTTTATCCAAATGTGATTTTATAATCTGCAAATTGACGAGTAATGATCTGGATTCTATTAGCTATAGTCATAATAAGTCTAGTTAAATTCGCTTGTTATTCAACACGAGTTCTGTTTGCTCATAATAATATACATTATACTGTATTATAAATCATAGAACTTTTAATGGAGCCTTGTTGTCTCAGCACAGACAGATGTAACAAATGAAGATACCTCAGACACCTTTTCAACTTTTTCAACAAATCTCTTGTGATATTTACTAAATGTTACTTTGAGATATTTCTAGGTTATTATTAGAGTATGATAAGAAACAAAGGAATATTGATAATGATAATATGTAATTTACTTGCTAAGGATATGTATTAGCCAAATAAAAATCGATTTCTGTAACTGCAAAGAAATGTAACTAAAGTTATTTTCTGGTCGTTTTCTTAAAATTGAATTTCTTGGTTCGATTAGTATCAGGTGTACCAATTACAGTTCGAAGCTGTTTCTTATGTGACGGCTGTGGATTAAGTTTTCTTGATTGTCGTGACTTTAAATCGATAATTTGGGGATTTTCTGATGATACTTTTTCATTTACCGCAGAATTTAGATCAAACAGCATAGCTAAAAGTCAAATACGAGATTAATCATCAGTTGTAATAAGATAAAATTTATAGTTCCATCTAGTTGGCGTAGTAGTAATATAAAGGTCTTTATTGACGATTAATCTTGACTACTAAGTTTCTCTGAGGATACTTTATAATATAACTTGTTACCTTCGATTGCTGAGCTAGGTTCATTGAGAAGGCTTGTATATTGTCGATTTGATCCGCTTTCTATCATAGTACAAGAATAATAGATGAAAATAAGTACAAACCAGTCTGTAAAAACAACCGATCACGCTAAGCCAATGGCTAGTTGCTAGTATTGATTAAGTAAGTTACTTATATGGTACTAGTTGACTTAATTGGTAGATCATAAAACATACCATTTATGCCAATGAGGACATATGCCGAGCTATCTTTAAGATATTCGTTGGCGTAGTGATTATCATACATGTACAGGTTTATTAGATTGCCATTATCGTCAGCTAAATCAATCATTTCTGTAGCATATATTAAACAATAGGATCATGTTAAAGTAGCAAGATTTTAAATAACTCTAAATCATTTTCTCATGATGGTATTCAACTACTGTAATTTAGGCCCCTAAAGTAAGATATAGAGTACTATAATCTAGTATTTTTATGAGTGCTATGATGGATAAACTTCATTTATTGTACTGTATGGTGAAACTCTGAAATCTCGGGTATTCAAGTATCCCAAGGATCGTTATTTCTTCGAATAGATTATTTAATTATAACTGAATAGTCGTAGCTGTAAGACTTTACCTAGACTTCTACATGAGTGTGCATGGTTAAAATAGTCTAAGGTCTAAAAACAGGTTAGATATTGGAGCTATCAATAAATGAATTTACCTTCTCTTCCACATTCGCATCGTCGTTTAATACTTTCAAGGAGAATTCGCACCAAGCAGTAAGGGTTGGAAATAATTTCTTGATTATCTGTTATGGAGATATTAATAGAATTTATTAAATCCGCGATAGTGCAAAACGTTTTCTGTTGCAGCATTGGAAATATCGAAGCTGAAATAATTAGACTAATCAGGTCATGATGAAGTTACAGAGCTAAAAATTTTTTACTTCTATTTCCTTCCTACTCATACAGTAAATTTAATTTCTGAAAATATGCACAAAAGCGCATAAGTATAGTAACAGATAAACTCTACTCTAAAACTTAAAATTGATTTACAGGAATGCTCGTACAACTCCAGTCTTAAGTAAATCAAATAAATATTATAACAACGTGAACTACTGTATTTGAGAAAATTTAGTCATGAATGTGTTGGCTTAGGTATGAAAGTTTATATTCGATGAAAACTAACTTAAATTTAAAGCTGATGCATTTAACATGGCATGTCCTTAAGATAATCTCTAGATAAATCAAGTATGCATAGGAAATATACTATTTATTAATATACGCTGATATGTAACGTTCGTGCAAGGAAAAACTACCCAAAAATTAAATCAAGCGACAGCAAGAGCTTTAGTACCGGTATCCGTTCATCCTATTTAAGAATTTAAATTCAATAATAGGCACAGACTTCTTCATTTTAATAAGGATAGACTAATAAAGAAGTGAGAATCAACCTAATATTACTGCTTTACAGTCATATAACCAGGAGGTAGAAAAAAATATCATCTACGTTATTAAATGTTAGACAAGAGAAGGAAAATGTCATTCATTTTTTACTTTGTACTTATAAACCATAAAGCGTAAATACTTAAACGGTGCATTATAAAAATTTCTGGTAAGAATATTCACTACCAGCTTCATTAAAATAATACCATGAAGATATTTACATCATCTTTATTAAGAATGTGTATAGGCAGGTCGATGCAATAATACTGGAAAGGATCAAGATCAAAATTGGTTCTCGGCTAAGATTACAATTTAATGAAACTTCACTCGTATTACTTTGGTAGTACGTAGAAAAAATTGTTTAAGATTCGAAAAGTAGACGGAATAAATGATAATTTTTAATCGAGAATTGCAATAATTAGCTTAGGTGAGAAAACAGTTTAATTTTCATTATTGGTGAAGATATCGATAGCTTGGAGGAGCCTCGTATTAGTATAATTAAAGATCAAGCTGTGAAGCAAGGAAAGATATTACAGGATCTATTTTCTTAAATAATGACTTCATTTAGGTCGCTATTTTTCTGAAGCAGTGATTTTAATACGTATGTAATAGAGTTAATTAACTATCGATTAATAATTACAATATTAAAGAATATCTTATAATTAATAGCTTTTTAATGCAGAACTCTTTACTATTTAACACAGATGTAAGGTGCAATTACGTAAGGAAGCTATATCCTTCTCTAGGGATAAAAGCTTGTAACCTTAAAAATATTCATTTAGAACCAAAAATGGATATTATTATACGACAAGGAATTTGCTTTTAGCAGTTTTGTCAATCAATAACTCAGACTTGATATAGTTTTAATACTTTCATATAATGATATAAAATCCTGCAAACGAGCGGAATCTTTATTTTAAATAACCAGCGAAGTAATTATGGTAATTAATTAAAGAAACATAATTTGCCTTAACTTTGTAGTCAGTTTCCTAAATTATATAATGAAAATAAATGAATTCCGTACTACTTACGTATACTTGTTGGTTACTTTAGCGTGAAATCTTAAAACAATTTTAAATAGAACGTAAATTTACTGTGAATACGTTTATACGAAAGGAGTCTGATAAAAAGTCACAGCTAATCATTTATCAGTGCATGGGCTAAGATAGAAGGAATAGGTATAGGGTCTCGGGAGAATGTAAGTTAATGATCATTTTACGAATTAAAAAATTCTGATAGTAAATTTTGAAGAAGTACGCATTACATAGATATAGTATTTGGAACTAAATTGTTATCACAGGGAAAATTAAAACAAATTTCAACTTACTTCCATATAAGACACGAATAAATCGCTGTGGAACTACCGGATAGTGTTCATTTAAATTAAATGGAGATCTTGGTATATCGGTGCTCGCCATCGTCTTCTTTAGATTAATCAATTCAATAGTTTACCATTAAGAAAATCGGAGTTATGTAGAGCGTTCGATCTCTTCCTTTAAAAAGATGCTTTAAGTAAAACAATTTTACGTATTAGCGATTTAAAGTAAGAATCGATCACCGACGGATTCTACCTATTGTAAGTTACTACCACATAATTACATCAGCTAACTTAGCGGTATCGTTTAGAAGACGTTATTCTAGGAAATTTGGCTTACTTTTTTTAATAATACGATCGAGATGGCACTTGACTATCAAAGCAGATGGGATAGAAAAAAATTGAAGATTTGTGCTACGGTCGATGAATTGCTAGGAATAAAACTCACTATAAAGTTAAAATTGATTCTTGTTAAGGTGTTCTACTTATTCATGTGCATAATAGGCATATTATCGTTTGTTTGTATAAATAACGTTGAAAGTTGCTAAGAGTTTTCATGCCCATCATTTCTGATTGGCTTAGTAATAACAATCACGGACTTGTAATAATGTACGGAATTGTACGCTACAACTTTATATTTTCTATCTAGTAAGACAATGTCAATTACACTTGGATTGGTTGTCATTATCAAGAGGCGTTTCCATTTATAGTTATCACTGAATTTTGACATCAATCAATATTGCGATTATGCTTTACCGTATATAAATCATAAAATATTTGCTGTCCTAGTCATATAAGTGACGATCATTATAAACGAGAACTACCGATACATGCATTGGCGGTCAGTTCCAAAATTGTTAAATTATAAGAGTTATACAATGATAATTAATTATGCTATTATCAAGCATGAAATGATTATATTCACCTTTTAATACTGGACATTATAAGATATGTTTCAGAATTTGTACTTGAAGAGAAAAGCGCCACTGTAAATATAAATGATTCTGAATGATCAGTAAATTTCAGATGATATATACAGTATTGTAAAAGTAAGTTTTATAATTGTGAAGCAAAATAAGATGGTGTATAATATTTATATTAGTTAGTATTACATGTAATCGTTCTGTAACTCTTAATATGTATGTATAAGAGTTTTCTATGTGAAATAGCATAGCCTATATCATACTCCTAAATATAGCTAGTGAAGTTCGCATATCATAATGTCATGTTAAGTTATTAGTGAAAGCACAAGTTGAGTAATAACAGAACTAATTTATAAGCTACTCTCGTAGTTACTAGCGTGTAAAGCAATAATATAGATACATGACATCAGAACTTTATTCATAGCTATATTCAAGTAGCTTGAAAATTAATTAATGGATTTAATATCACATAATTAATATCTTGCAACGATATGTACGCGACGAGAGTTTGTACCAGTTATTCTTATTTAAAAATAACAACAGTTTATCTAAGATGCACCACTTTTGTTATTTCAACCATTCTATTACTATATGTTGATCATTTTTCGATTTATAACATATCGATAGAATTACCATTTCATTAATTTGTTCCCAAAACTGTATTTAAAGTTATAGAATAATGCATTCTAAATAATAATGGTAGATGAACGATAACTCAGATTTAATTAAAATGAAAAGGGTTTTGAATGGCTAGTATTTCTTTTTTTCACAATTACATTTAAATATGCCTTGAAAATGAATTAAATATATTCTAATTAACATTGTGTAGCAATTAATCTATAATTAGAATTATCGTTTTATAACAAAGCATCAAATGTCGTGCTTAAGGATTGAAATCCTTTACTATAGCACAACCGGCTATAAATAATTAGATAAAGACCAGGACGTATTAGTTTAAAAGCGTTTGCTTGTGATATTTATCATACCGATTTATTTACTGTATGTTAATCAACAATCTGTTCATGAAAGTATTACCGATTAGACGTTTGTAATATAACCTGCTTCCGTATCTGAGCGCAATACAAGCATGAAAGATTCGGTATGAAGCACATTTTGTCATAACTCATAAGATATATTATATGATCAGGAAGTTCAACATTATTCGCGCTTTGTGTGAAATCAGAAATCAGCTAATTTAACCAATTGTAAATATCATGTACCGTAGCATACTACATATATATTAACCATTACCATCTTAATTCAGATTCTTATAAGCTTATAATCAGTTTTACATCTGCAATACAGATTGATAAGAACCATAATCATAATACAATCTTCTTAGTAGCTTCACAACCCTATTCATGTTATTTCTCATTTAAAGTATTGATTAACCGAGTGTGATAAAGTGTCTTAAACATTTAGACCCACATCTTTTAGTAAATTTTACTTTACTAGATAAACTAGATCGTATACTACTAATAAATCTAATAAATTATCGAGGACTACCTATCTTTACTCTAAAGTTGGCTAACTTATTGCATCAGATCTACGATTTATGTTCTATCTTCAGATATAAATGCCGCTGATTTCTACCTCAATTTCCCGATAGTTGGGAATTTTGGAATAGTTAGAGTGTCAATACCTCTCACGCTACTTCACGACATCCTTACATGCTCCTCTACGAGTAAGCATCGCATTATAATAAGAATTATAAAAGCCCATAGTCAATATGAATTAATATAAACCGCAATAGATGAAATTGAATGCTGGCTATAAGGCTCTGGGTCTGCATTAAAGAGATACTTGCAGGGATTACAGTCTACAATAAAAAAATCTATTTTCCACTAAATAATATACTTTAATCTTAACGGTAACTAATTCAACTTTTGCCGACTCATCGAACCCTTTATCATGTTTTGTAAAGCAAGTAGCATAACAAATTACGTAACAAACAAGTAATTTTATTATATTATCAACGCACAATAAAATGTATGTGCCATACATCGTATATATGTGTAAAATATATATGTCGTACAGATTTGTTTGAAAAATATCACAATCTTGCTATATTTTACTTTTGATTCTATAATAAAAGTAAATTATTTATACCGTATAGCATGACGGACATACAGTAAATGTTTTAATTTTATATAAATCTAAATTTTAAAAAATACTATGAAAGATTTTTAAGTATCTGCCTAAAAAAGTACAAATATTTATATTTTTTACATTCTATAAAGTATGAATGAGTGACTTCAAGCATTTTTGGCAAATGTTGATAGATGGAAAAAACTACAGGATTTTCATTCTAATGCATTTTAGTCTTGATAAGTTTTTTACGCTACAATAAGAGAAAGTACGGGTATGTAACATCATGTGTTAAGACAAGATGGCAGATTTAACAAACGGTGATTTCATCTGTGTATAACAATTTAAATAAATAAAATCTTATATTGTTTTATCATCATATCAAAACTACACGTATATGTACCGATTCAAAGTTTAACATGTTGTGCTATATAACATAACATAACATGAGCTAAGTTCCGGAACGATAATATGGTCCACTCAAAGGAGGATCGCGAAAGATTGTGTCTGCGTACGTTTATGATACTGAGATTGCACTTATGCAAGCCAAGGGGCTTTAATCTTACAAGTACAACGACTCTAAGCTAAGCACTTCAATACGATAAATGATAAGTTAACAGTATAGACATTTTATTATTACCATATAAAATTTTACTTTGAAACTATCGGATTAATGCTATGACTTACAAATACTGGTAACATTGGAAGGATATAAAAATATGATTTATAGTCTCCTAGTATACAGAACTTCCTCTTCGTCTGAATCATCAGCATCTCCACGCAATAATGATACAGTAGTTGCTCTTATGCCCTCGCTATCATTGTTCATGTTGCGGTTTTTATATCTTAGTTTGGACTTTCTTCTACGCACAACAGTCTTAACGATATAAACAATAACACCAAAGGCCAGCAATAGTAATCCTGCCATAGCTGCTAGGGTATCAGTACGGGAAAAGAATCTGTTGTATGAATGCATCTTAGTTAAGTTAATATCGCATTTGGTGAGACCGGCGCCATTAAAGATTGTAAGAGGAATCGTATAGCTATTGTAATCCTTTGCCTCAGCTTTTACGTGATATTGACCAGGAGGCAAGAATAACTGAAAGTGACCATCTCGGCTCTTTATTACATAATTCAGTCCATTATGATTAGCAATACTCAAATTAACATGGCGAATTAACGCTTTGGTACCATCAAAAATGTTTCCTGATATTCCGCTTGATAACTTGTGAAGTATCTCAAGTAAAGCAGTTCGATGAGCATCCCAATATTGTGATAGGGCCTTCCTGTTAGGATTAATGCAACATCCAATTCTTAATACAGCCTTATACCCTTGTTGGATGCCTTGTGGTGAAAACATTACGTTATTATATTTATTTAATTGACTATTGTTACAAATTTTCGATGGTAACATTTTGTTTATTGTCTTAAGAAGGGTTTCAGGAACTAGGTAGGAAGTGATAATCTGAGAGTTACGCTCAACGAAATTAACGAACGATTCTAAATCAGCATACGGTCTAGCTTGAAGTCCGATTAATACGTCCATTGGATACTTCTTAAGCAGCACTTGCATAGCAGCAATCGCAGGGATTCGACGGCAAGATTTACTAAGTTTATCTGATGTCAGCCAGGTATCATTAGCTAAACATTGGTTTAAAGATGGCCTACTTTGCTTCGACTTTATAGGTAATCTGGAGCAGTTCTGATTATCATTGTTATAGTCTTTCCGGTTATGAGACAAACATGGTACTATAATTATTTTTGTTCTTCTCAATATTTCTGATCGAATGTAATCATTATTGGGTGACTGGCACAGATGACTGGCAAACTGTAATAACATTTCACTGCCCATGGCATCACTGTCGTATAATCTACCGATCAATCCAGTTACCAATGATGGAGTCGGTTGATCTTCTTGAAAATTTGAAAATTCAATGGCATGCAAGGTTTTATTACCATATTTTATCTTGATATGTTTGCTAATGTGTTGGCATTGCAGTAAGACATTTCTAATAGCTTCAATCATTTCATCTTCGCTATGATAATATTGAGTATTGACCAGAAAATGACCAGTCGGCGTAGAATGATTAAATGACGTTATTATAGTTGCTTTAGATTCAGAATTATTGGAAGTAGATGGAACAGGTTGGGTTGGAGATGGTGTATGAACTACTTCAGAATTACTGGCAGTGGAAGGAACTGGTTGCCTTGGAGATGGTGTATGAACTACTTTGGGGTTACTGGAAGTGGATGGAACAGGTTGTGTTGAAGATAGTGTATGAACTATTTCCGTAGTTTCAGTTGACTTTTGCGTTAATATCGTTGTGGACAGTGTACTAAATCCGTGAGCAGTTACTGTAGTTGGAGTTGTAACGGAAGGTAATAACAGATCAGTAGCTGGATTAGATTTAATGGTTGAAACAGAAACTGCCCCCGTCGATGTTGCAATTGTAGCGGTAGTAGCTTTCGATGCAGTCGTGGCAGAAGTAGAAATTTTCGTTTCTATAAAAGAGAGAAGAATTAATATCAGATTGTTATGTTGAGTTCATGATTTTGCATAATATCAAATTTTACCAGTTTTATTTAAAGGCGTTAGAGGAATATTGATCGATGATCCAGGTGGATTTGTCACAGTGATATTAAGTGTTGTGCTCAGGTAGCCAGGAGCGGAAGCTATCAGCGTATATCTTCCAGGCAATAGCAGACGCCAAAAATCACCAAATTGAGCGGTTCTAATATTATAATTTATGCCACTTACTGAGATCGTAGCTCCTATAATACCATTTTTGTGTATCGTACTATTGTCGTATACGCAACCGTGAATACCAATCTGAGCTTGTTTGATATAAGCTATTAACGCATCGCGATTTCTGTTCCATTCCTCCTTTAATTTCTTACTTGATGGATACTTGCAGCAGGATAGTTCCAATGTGATTTCAAAGCAATTGCTATGAAGATAATTATAATCCTGCATACCACCAGAGACATCGTACCATTCAGCACCATTCGTTATTCCATTATTAAAAAAATCGTTTGGAGTATCAGAACAATTAGGTTTGCCAAAATGCATCGTTGTATGGTGATTGGCATAAATTGCAGCTAGGTGGCGAAACACAGCATCGTCAGGCGATTTACTGTAATATCCAGATTCTTTATGATCATGACTATCATCAAAAGGATAACTCGCTACAACAGAACCACCATGAAGACTAGCAGAAAGCACAAACGGATACTTATCTATCCAATTCATCATTGCCAGAGTTTCCGGTTGATGATGTTGGTTTTTATTAGAAAATTGGTCAGGGAAATTGCGATTCAGATCTACATTGTTTGCATTATTTCGACCAAACGAACTAGGAGCATCACAATTCCCTTCTTGTGCCCTTTCGAAACCATCAGGGTTCATAGTAGGGACAATAAAAATATTGACAGAATCGACTATGTGCTTAATTCTTTGATCGATAGAATATTGCTGGCATAAGTATTGGATCAAATAGATTAACATTTGCCGGCCAACTGCTTCATCACCGTGTATATTAGCAACATATTTAAACCACGGTTCACCTTTTTCGGTTACATTTGGTTTATCAGAAATTTGGAATGCCCAAATTTCTCGCTTTTTAACTGATTGACCGATTGAGTGTAATCGGGTAATAGAAGGAAACATTTTGTTGTATTTGTGTAGTAAATCGGTTAATTCTTCGTAATGATGGTATCGATCGAATGATATATCCAGATTTTCAAGGCCTTTTACTGACCCGCTTTCAATCAGAATAACCAGAAAAAGGAAAATCAAAATGCGCCCCAACATTTGCGTCATCATTCCAGCTATCTATATACACACACAAAAGAGAAAAGACCAGTAGTTCAACTATTTCCCTTCCTCTTTACGTCATCGATTTAAAAATATATCTATCGGTAGCAATCAATATATCACTGAATAGCGTTGACGCTATCCGGATAATTTCTTGCCCGGAGTGAAAGTTATTAAGTTAATTTAAAGCTAACACTCGTGCATTTAAAAGGACTACTAGGAGAAGAAGTACGTCATCTTGTGTTACAGCAGTCCTTGACGTTTATAATGAAAAAATGTATCTTCAAAAAGTTCAAAAGTTGATGGGAAATTTGAAAGAATCTTAAAGTCTATCATCACGAATAGGAGTAAGTTGCAATTAATCTAACGTGCAATCATGAGTGACAGATACGTTACCTACTACGAATTTGAACTTGATATTTGAGGCTGAATATTGCTTTTTCAGAGTCGAGTTTCAGCTACGTCGAGTAGTAAACTCTTCAATTTCGTTATTGCCTGAGTAAATAAATTCTCTTGTCGATGGAATTAGCAAACCACATCGAGCGTAGCGTTCGATCGTACAGTACAGTAGTACAGAACGGCACACACTGTATAGTACACTGTCCGCGTACAGTACAGTATGCGCCTGACACATCACGAGTATTTAGCAAGGATGACATCATTGGCATTGGCATTGGGAGTTTACTGTTAGTTTAGCCATGGACTTCTCGAATATCGCGGTATCTAGAAGTCCATGGTTTAGCTCGATTGAACAAGAAATACTTCTTAATTACTCATCCACTACGAGGCTAGTAATGTACTACAGTTTATTATAAAGGGTAGTGAGTGGGCACAGCATCGTGTAATGAATGCAATGATAGATCAGAATAAGACTACAAGTTAGCAACATTTTTATGCTTTAAACTTCTAGCATCGTGGGCAGAGTAGGAGAAATACGTATGTTGGCAGTTCATGACTGTTCAGTTGGAAAAGCCGAGTGCAATTACTACTGTTCATACCTTCATAATCAAAATATAATTTCGAAACTGATTGCAGGACATAAATACTACTGAATATTACGATAAAATCTGCTTTACATGGTGATCAACTTTCTTGTAGGTGCAGTGATTTGTTGACACAGAATTTGGTGGTAATATTCTTCCGAAGCATACGTTGGCTAACTCTTAAGTACATATGAACTTAATAACCAGACAAAGACTTGCAACAAGTATTGATCTGCTAATACTGCAGCACTAATACGAATGACAAATCTCCGTTCTCTAGTTTTGTGACAACAATTCACTTCGTAGAAGTAAAGATACGCGTGCATCATTCTAGTGATTTCTGCTAATTACAATAGTTTTGAGCAGGCAATACAGTGATAGTATGTAGTGTAGAACTGTATGTCTTAATAAAGTATGTGCTATATAAGGCCGTAACAGATAGCCATATTAAGTAATATTATGAAGCAATGTATTAATGTGATTGATGACTCCTATATCGAGGAGCAATTGATTATCCGGTTTATCTTAGCCATTTTCGACTGTTATTTTAATTATAAGGGGAAGAAATTGGAATTCTTCTCCGACGGACGACACACGGACGTCAATAAACTTCACTGTTATAGGTCAATTATACGGTGTTGACTATTTTGTGTTACATTAGGGATTTGCTCGATTTTAACAAACTCAGAATTTTGAGTTGACGGATTAAGAAGCTAGGGCCAACAACCCGTATACTACAATCATATAATAAGTCTTATCTGATGTACACTAGCTACATTTCTATACTGGGCATTCAAGATGTAATTTTTAGCGATCTGAAAGCGTAGAAGGTTCTATGTACGTGGAAATGTGCACATGTACAGATAAATAGCTATGGCACTGTTACGGCACTACGTTACCTAAATTATAGAGTTTAAGAAAGTATTGTTGCTCAAAATTTTTCAGCGTTACAGTATGAAGCTGTGACAATTAATTAATTATTGCGTCATCAATGATAAAATTTTGTTGAGTAATGAATCACATGTTAACACCTAGCCATTAATTAACTAATATTAAATGTCATAGGAAGTGTGTTGTGATTCTTGCTATATTTAGCATGTAGACTTGGCTAATAAATTTATTATTGTATTGCACCAACGAAGTTTGTGAGACTATATAAAAACCTCAAAGTTCTTAATGGAGAGAGTTGATAAGTTAGTTGATAACAGACGGTTATCAGTGGTTAGCAGTAGATTGTAAGTTGTGAGTTCAATCGGACATTTTAATAAATAGCTTTTAGAATAAAGTTTTGATTCTTAGCGTGAGTATTCTATCATCTAAGACTCGAATCTAAGTTTGGTAGATTAAATGGTGCTTAGCGTTAGTTGCTTAGATAGTTAAGACTACTTTAGAGGAAAGAATCCCGATAATTTTTGTGTTGCAATCTCGGTTGTAACAAAAGCTGTTTATAAATTATAGTTCGGTGTCTCTACCGATTGTAAGCCTTTTAAAAGAGTGGTTCTTCGGCGTTATAGTGACAATACTATATTCTTACTAAATCTTACGATAGATTAGGGTAGTAATCTGCAGAAGCAACTCAAGTAAATGCTTTACGTTAGACTATTAAACTTGTCAGGAAGTAGTCCGTGACAGCCACCTAACAGTGTTCTGGATTTAAAGAAAACTAGTGCTGTAAACAGTCGTATCCAATTGCAACAATTATCTAACTTTCTAAAAACTAATAGCTTCACCAATACTAAAATTTTCCAGGTAGCAAGGAAACATAGATCATATCATTGCAATATATATTTAATTAATTATTGATGGTAAGTCATTCAAGTTATGCAGTAAGCAAATAAAAAAATAATAATAAATAAATAATTATTATCAAGTAGAGCTGAAATTTGTCCAAGTGCAGATTAATAATTTTATAAGCGTTTTTAGACGAGATGATTCGGGAATATGAATGTGTAAACCAAAATATCAATGAATTTATTTTTTACAAGCATCCTACAAAATTTATAATTTCATCAATCTTTTATTGCCTTCATGATAACAATAATTAAAACAGTTAACATCATGAATTAAAGTACAAAATCATTAATGATATGTTGATTATATCATGGCAATATTAAATAAAATTCAGCGATAGTTACGGTACAGTACTAGAGTTTAAAATTAATTTTGCCTTCTTCTCTATATGCAGCGTGCTAACGATGTACAGTATATATTACTTGATAAAGATCTTGATAAACATAAAATTAATTTATAATGTTAACATCTATATCGCAAAAAAAAAGTTTTTTAACACTTTACAATTACTAATAGGAGATATAGACACCTACAAAATAAAATTATATATCACCAAATAGGTAAAGGCGTTATTCGTATTTATGTTATAATCTCTATCAAGCAAAGAATAATAGTTATTTGAATTTGAAAAGTTACATAGCAATCAAATTTCTATTAGTCATAAATGTTCGAAATATGTCAATTTAGATGTTGTAACGAAATTGTAATATAATTTGTTATAGAGCGATCGTAGATAATTTAGATTTTTCATCTAACATTTCTGTAAACAAGGATAAAATTTTCTATTGGTAATTATTATAATATCATACATTATATTTTAACATTGTCATGATAATTAAAAGAAATGTTAAATTTTAGATTTATAGATAAGAGCAAGATATACAGTATATGGTGTATGACTTTGAAATGTATGTGTTAGCTATATACGTAAATATACTGTACTATAAATACAAAATTCTGACGAATAATGAATGTTTCACATAAACAAATCTTTCTTTGCTTATAACTTAGTGGTACCGCTTATATGGAAAATTAATATGTTGTGCAATAGTTATAATCAGTGGTAGCTGCTGATGTTAATAGCCTAACACGGTACGAGGAAATGATTTTTACAGCACAGAAAAAAGTTAGTTCGCTTAGTAACAAGTATTAGTAGATTGTATAGACCTAATTGGTTATACATAACACATTAGGTATAAAATCTCAAGAGTTACTATTTAAATAGATGAGAATACAATTCTTCAAATACTGTACGTATAGACAGAATTTTATAGCGACAATTTCTTATAGAATGCTTAGATTATGTCTTGTACAAACATAAATTATGACTTACTGTAATAATAAAATTTTCTCTTTTTCTTAATATAATAAAATTCATACAAGGTATAACGGTAACTGTGCATAATATAAGAGACAACTTATCCTATTACAGATATAATGCGATTAATCTGGCACCATATACTGTAGTTTTATGCATGAAGGTGAATTATTCGGTCATTCTGACAATTTGAAATTTTGTTCCAGTGTTGAATGTAATTTGTATGAAGTGCCTTACAGTCGTACCGATAATTCTAAATCAATATAGCGTAAATTTTTCGTTAAATTGATAAAAAAATCGAATCTGAACTATGAAGCTCTATCAACTTTAGAAAAGTATCCGGGGATTTGGTAAATACTTGATCGAAATATCCTTTATATTACAGGTCTATGTTAAAAGATAATCAATTCAAATCAGGTTTGAGCTATCGTTTTCACTATCCTGGTCATTTCTTGATCCGTACAATAGCTTAATATTATAATTTTGTACCGTAATAATGAATTCAACTGCAACCTGACTAGACCAAGAACGCATTTGACTTTCCGTTAAGAAACCAGCATGACCACCGTATTTTGTTATTGCAGATATAAATGTTGGATGCTGATCAAATAACGTATTCGGAATCAGTTTGCAATCTGTAATCGGATCGTCCTTTGCATTAAGGCATAATACTGGTATGCATATCTCATCGATATCGGACATTGGATTGATAAATTCCCAACAGTTTTTATCGTTCGATTGCAATGTATCATGGGGTTCACTCTGATTTTCATAATCATGATTCAATGGTATACCGTATAGATGGCAATATACCTCTCGAACTGTCTTACATTTTAATAATGTAGGTATCGTCTTAGATCTAAGCGGTTTTGTTTCTTGGTTTTTACCATTATTGCCTTGCTTTTCCTGATGATAGTAGTTACCATTTGTATATTTATCAAATTGAAAATCGGGATTTAGGTTTAAGGTTTTATTATAATATTTACTATTCTCATCAATCTGAGTTGCAGACGATTGCAATTGATGATTCAATTGTTGCCGAACTTTACGATGATTATTTACTATAGATCTTTTAATGTTATGGCGTAAAAGAATATCATACGGTAAGTTGGATGCTAAATTAGTTAAGACTTCTTCTAAATCATAACTTGGTGATATACATACCGCCGCTGAAATCAATGTTGAGGCGCCAATATCACTTAAGTACGATAGCAGTAGACTATATCCAAGTGAGATAGAGACCGCAGAGATGTAAGCGTTTGGATATTTATTACGTATATGACGTAAAACTTCATGAAGATGGCGTGAATATTGTTGGCTTGTTGGTAATTGATACTGACTATCTTGATTCCAAGTATAATTTGATCGAGTACCATCACCATTAACTAAAAATGAATTATGATTAGCATTTTGGTGTTGATTTTGATGGGATTGCTGTGATTGGAGTAGACCAGTCGGTGGGTTGATAACAACACATTTAAATCCATTGCCACAGTTATTTTTTTGGGTTTTATCAAATTGTTGAAAATAATTTACCATTTCAATGCTTAATGAAGTAACATGAGATGATGTCATGGTAGTCAACCAACCAGGTATGATAACAATAATGTGAGAGACGGATAACGATTCCTCTAGTAGAATTCTTTTTTGATGGTTTGATGTTAAAATTCTGTGATCATTAAGTTGTGTATTAGTTAATTTTGTTTGTTTATGGTATTCTATCCAGAACCAATCTAATACGATATGTTCGTAGTATAGCGTATCAATAATTTGACTTTGGTTTCGAATGTTCATGGACTTTGGGCTTTTAGGCCATTGAGTTGCGAGCCAAGTTTGTAAATGACCATTGACTGAATAAAATGGAGGCTTGTATAATTGATTTAATTTAGAGCAATGCTTTACAATCCACTGGTTCATTGAAGTTAATTTATACCTTAAATGAGGCTTACTATATCGTGGAAAATAATAATTTCTAATTAAAGATAGGATAGTTAACAATATAATTGCACTTACGAACGTCCCTATTAGTTCCATTTCTTTTGAAAGACTATAGAGTTTTATATGCTATACTGCAAGTAAGTTGATTTTTAATTTCAAGGACGTTCTGGATAATGATACTGAGTGAGTCAAAGTTAGTTCCAGTAGTGAGAAAAATATGAGATATTGTAAGCAATATACCAATAGAAATGAAAATGTGACCCATCAATTACTCAGTGATGATATAAGGAATGTTAGGATAGTCACAGCTTGCATTGGTATAAAATATGATTATATTGGACGTGCCATAGTTTTTCAGATATGTGATTACGGGTATTGAAATATTGATATCGGCTCTACGGCATATGTACCTTAACGAAAATGAAATGTTTCCGTCAGTACCTACAATTATTTTACCACGATTTCATTAAACCAATTATGATGCTAAAATCTCTCAACCATTAGCCCTTGCTAGAAGCCTTAAATGTTGCTAATATTCAATCTTCAAGGACTTAGGCATACAATTACCACTTTTATACCTTGGTTGTTAACGCTAAATTATCCTATTATATTTTTTAAAATATGTGGAAGAAAACTATAAGATCGTCGTAATTGTAGGTATATAGTTCTTTGCTACAGAATCCTGATATACAGTATTACAGATTTAGTGACTGTTATAATTGCTATTACTAATATACAGCAGAGCGAAATAGGGTTAGTATTTACGTTAAACGTAGTGAATTATTGCTGTTGAAGTTTTTAATATGAAAGTTGCTATGACATTACAACTTTCGTTGCAGCTTTACTATAAAGGCTAGACACTTTACAATAGCTGGAAGGAATTATCTCAAGATACAATGTAAAAAATTTGAATTTAACATGAGACAATTCAAACTTATCCAAGTACACAGTTTAGACTAATAAAATGTTCAATTACAACATGCTAAGAGAATAAGAATAAAGTACGAAATAATACCTGCAGTAATTACCTGATATATTAGCAAAATTAAGTAATATATCAGCTAGCTATGAATTTTGTAAAGTTTAATTATGAGGCTCGATCACGTAATTAATAGATAGGGCGATAATGGCGCAAACACGGTTATGATTAGAGAACCAGATTTGATATAATGAATTTATTCCGGTCATATACAAGAAATATTGAAGATTAATATATTATAATACCTACGGTGTGCAAACAAGAAAATATATGCACATCATCACGGTTGTAAAGACATGTAATATGTGTTCACAATCAAGGGTCTTAATTTTGCGATATAGGAAAGTAAGCCAATTTGAAAGGCAAATTGGTCGTGACTATTTCTTACAGATGACTGGAGTATTATTATATAAAAGTGAAAAGTAAAATACGTATACATACATACATGTTTAGCTATCAAATTGTGTAAGATATGCTTAGCAACGGTTCTCCACTTACAGAAGATTTAAGTGAGAGTTTCAAGCCTATATAAATAGACCACTAGAAGTTACCTTACTGAAGGTCTAAAAGGTCAATTCATACGAACTATATGCCTTTGTCAATGGTAGTGAAAGAAATTGACGTAGTAATGTGTTTACTGTGCGTTCTGAAAGAAATTAGGAAAATATAGCAAGCTTCTGTTCTGTCATAACTCATGAGGCGATGACTGGCCGTAAAAATACTATGGATCTAACATGTAATTGAATTTTAAAATTCAGCCTTAAAATGGTACAATAGTGTGATATTTTTTAGCTCGCATAGCATAAAAAGTAATAATGGGCATGTATTGCTATTACTAGTTAAACTCAATCATGCTGATAAATAAATCGAACTAATAAAATGGGAGCCAGCAATGTGTGTTCTAGCAGGGATACTGTTAAACGCTCAAGTATATGATTGATTCGTCTGATGTAATAACATAATTGTTATTTAAAGTTGTAATAATTACTCTGGTTATACGTTTTAACGAGTCAAATCTACATCGTATAATGCACTTTGATCAATGAATTGAATATTTTAAAGAGTTTAATTACCAGGGTAAATTGCGCTCAATCAACGGTGTAAATGATTAAACGTCACAGAACATTATCATTCACTGCAGTAGTATGTCAGTCTCTAAGTCAAAGATACTTTAAACGATTAGATTGTTGCACCGGTCGGATTTAGGCTAAAAATGGAATGAAACGTCCACTATCGTTAATTAATATTGCACCGTGACTGATTAACAACTGGAAATAGAAACTAAATCATTAATAAACTAATGAAAAATAAAATGCTGAGATGCTATAATAACTTTGGTAATAATACACGGAATTTGAAGGAATTGGAAGAGCTTTGGTCAGAAGGCATGAAATCGATACTACTAGATAGCAACAATGATTTAAAAGCATAATTAGAGTAACTGATGTTTGGCTAAGTTTTACTTTACTGAAGTTAAACAGAAAACTTTAACTGAATTTGCCAATGCATAAACAGAAGGAGCGACGAAAAAAGCTTAATGGTGACTGCTGGTGATAAAACCTTACAAATAAAACATAAATTTTAGTTGTTGACTCGTTCACTAGACACGTTTCTTACTCTCATTAAATATGAAGATTTTTGAGTTACTACACGTGGAATAAAGTCGTTTGTCGATATTTTTCAATTATTAGATGTACATTTTGTTCCAATTCAATTTAGTTACGATGAAATACGCGGTATACGGTTGATATTAAACGGTTACCGTTGCGTTCAATTTCTTTATGAAGATAACGATAAACTAACTTATGTAAATTTTAAGTGGCAGTACTATTTAGATTCCAAGAAAAAGAATGCTAAATTGTCCTTTAACGCGTGACATGATCAATACTATTCTTCATTTTTCTCTCCATATTGTAAAGCTATATCCTAGTAACGATGTTTAAATAAAAATAATCTGTTTATAAAACAGTGAGTTACCTGCTTTGGGAACACGATATTGTCGTTTCTTTATCTTCTTACTTTCATGATTTTATCAACAGCGATGGCATAGGAATGTGACGAAGCACAGTCATGACTTCATCGGCAAGATAAGTAGTCCAGTCTAATTTTATGTCGTTAAGTATAGCGAAGAAGCTTGAATTCTTTGTGGTAAAATATTAAATATGGCTACAGAATATAGTCAATGGTTAACTTTCAATCGACTGTTGCGGTGTTAACTTTATGAATCCTATTTTAATAATGTAAATTAGATCATGATTTGTGCTGAGATCACATCCAATTCAGGACCAGATGGTCGTTATCTATCCAAGCTGTCGATAGGTGGGGTAGACTGATGATAATACGACACGGAATTGGACAAGCTAACAAAGTCAATAGCATAGAAAAATAATTATTCAAGGGAAACAATGAACCATCACTATCACATATTACATATTATTGTTATTGATAAAGATATTTTATTAACCAGGTTAATTGCTATTATTTCATTTAGCTTTGATCTTTACCCATAATTTTGATGCTTGATCGAGCTGATCTTTTGTCGCTTTCTTTTAATTAATTAACAATTCTATTGTCCTATTATTATCATCCTCACGATTACATTATTCGCCCTTTGCCGTTTATTTTATCAAACTTATAATGTCTAAAAGAAGATCATACTTCCATATGACAGTTCATATAAATACAAGGGATGACAGGAAGAATAAATGTAATAGAATTTTATCCACTGAATTGTATCGTGTAGTGGACTATGTTGGTAAACTAGATGAAATAAAAATTGTAACGACAGTTGGAAAAGAGTCAAACTTTATCATTTATATTCCAAGAACATCAATTGACATTGGTCTTAATACTCTCAAACTCATGATGTTTTGAGTCCTTGATCCTTGAAATGAATTGTTATCATGACGAATAGTATATACCGTAGCATAAATAGTAGTATACGTTTACGCCATATACGATAAGTATCTGAAAGCCCTTTGGTAATTCTATGAGTCAAATAGGAGGAGGAAATGCCACTAAGCACCGCCTCCGATATTCTACGCGCGTAACAAAACAAAATAGGGATGAGTTTTCATGTATTCTCTAATAAGGTCCATTAATTAAAATTGTCGTCAAACGAGTTGTAAAAATTACAACTAGGTCAAACTGTACACATGTCAGTAATTTTTATTCACTCTATAAACTTATATTCACATTTATATGATAGTATAGCCAAACGACTGTACTAGTCAAATTGAAAAAATGCTACTTACGTGATCTATTCTATGATTGATTGTGCATTCGAATGAAAAATTTACCCTTAATAATTATCCAAATCCCCAATCTTTAAATATTTCACATGCTTAATATTTCAGTATTTACTTTTTCACGACTACAGTGATAAACAATAAATGATTGTAATTGAAAAAATTAAACTGAGACAAATCGATTGCGACCTCTATTAATTAATATATACAATTAAAGGAATCCTTATATCAACTGTCATGAGAAAGTAGTAAAGGACTATATATATGTCATATACAGCAAATGAGTTCGATTGATATGGTCAAAAAACATGGGAATATGATCTTTGATGTGGACACTATTACCACATAGTAGCGTAGCGTACCCGGTATTTATTCTTCTCTAACAGTATCGTCTACCGTCTGCCTTCTGACATCATGAATCATGCAGCTGTAATTTTTCGATTGTCGCCATGGTATGCACCAGATTAGATGACAACTTCATCGAAATAGCTATGTAAAACTATTACTTTCGCAGATTAAATATTGTTCTTATTTGGAAATTTAACAAAAACAGTAGATCAAGACGTAGGTTCGATAATTTCATACTTACAAAATAAATAGAATGAATAATGATTTAATGTTAGCTTTGATGAATGACACATGAGTTCGTGGCTCAAAATTGTTTCCAGCTTATGTATATCAGATAAAGAAAAATCCATTTATTTAGTGAAGTGATTAATTGCTGAACGAATTATAAACACAAGATCCAGTTATAAGCGATAACTGAACTTTTAAAATGGGAGTTACCTCCATCATCATATAATTGATGGAATATTCATACTTACTAGCTGTAGCATAAATTTTTAAATATAGCTTTCCCAAATCTTATAATTTTTAAACAAGACACCGCGGAATAATTCTGTTAGTAAATAGAATAAGTTATGTCGTGATGAAGAATAAATTTAAACGGAGTAATGACGCAGTGTTACACGATAATAAGAATGAAATACAGTAATTCATGGGTGTTCTGTGAGTAGCCTAAATTATCTTCATGTAAAAACTTAAGTTGCTAAAGCTTGCTACAGTGTGACATTGATTTCTTAAGATGTAGCTTATAAATTTAGATACGACATAAATGTAGGTGCTCCTGTCTATATTTTTATTACATATAGGTATTACCGCACTTCTCATATGCCGATTTCAACTATTTTAATTGAACGTGTTTGTACATCTATGTCATACTAGTGTAGCGCCCCTAGCCATAGCCTGACGCTTACGTTTAAATGAGCATATATCAGAAGGTTTTTCAAGTTCTAGGCGGTATCAATTACCCATTCTTGTGATATAGGCTATTATCTAATATCTTGACTTTACCTAGGATTAAATTAATGCTATGGAGTAACTTTTGTTGTATATCTGTCATAATATGGTTTCCTTACGATTACTTATCTAAGAATATGCTGATGATTAATTTATCTGAGACCAATAGTCCGGTAACTAACAATTAAAAGTTTTGTTTCTTTCAAATTATACGCAGCTGCAATCATCAAACAGAATTTGATGTTGATTTTCTCAATTAGAATATAGTATGACGAAAAGTTTCTTCTTTAACATTATCAACATTAAATATACAAATTATGCTATTCGGTACCAAGTATCCGATATTCTCGTATCCGTTATTAGGTAAATAGAATAATTTATTTCAAATTAGAGATAACAAAAACTTTCATTTCTTTTGAGTCAGATCATAACTATTGCGATTATATAGCAATGAATTCAAAATTCCATGTGAGTAACCTTATGCCCTATAAGAATAGTACTTGTTAGAGGTACTTTGCAATAAAGATTTTATTTAATACTCTAAGGATTGGTTTTTCTTAATTTGAAGATACCTTATTAACGAAGATAAGTTAATGAGACTGTAATTTGCTCATTGTAGGTAATTGAAAGGTTACAATTCTTCCCTCAATTATATACTTTACAATATTTTTCTGTTCGTTACAAGGTTTGCTTATAAGATTTAGAAAATAAAAACATCGTTTAAATTTTTTCCAAGTTAAATGCTAATATGATACAATGTTTAAGTTTAGATTAGTTGATGTTAAAGAGATACAAGTATACGTATATTCCTCTGGTATTATTAGATATCTAGATAATCGTTGAATATTGGTTATAGATATTATTTCATCAATGATATTCAGCTTAATTTATCATATATTAACTGTGAAAAGTTCAAGATTTTGATAGAAATATAAGAGACTTCGGAGATCATTAATAGAATTAATGGCTAAATTATTAAGTTATTTAAAAAATTTAATAACAGAACCATGATTTGCTTTATTGAATAAATTTGAAGCGATAATTTTACTAGGGAAGTTATTTTTCAGCTTCACTCTTATATCTGAGCAATCGTATTACACCTTATAACTTTTACTATATGATGAGATCATGAAATAAATGAGGTTTATGGGCGTTCTTAATCATTATCTCATTCAGTGTAATTTTATTCAATATTATGGATGCTATAATAAGAAGGAATTTTCTATAAATAATAATATTAAATGTCTTTAAAAACTTGCAATTTAGGCCTAAAAATTTGTGTAACAATAGCCTTCATATTTGGTATGCGTATGCACATTCATTTAGTTGAATTTTACATCTGCAGAAATATCTGGATTAGTAAAGTTAAGGACTTGCAGCATCATTTTTTGCTTTTAGATAATTAAGTTAAACGCTTTTTAGCAACATAGCAGGCAATAATAGAGCTTCTTGAAAGATCTAAAATATTAGTCCGTCAGCAAACATGCAGTATAATTCTCGTTTAAAATTGCTGTTAGGAATAAAACAGATTTGATAGTGATTAAATCGTAAATTTCTTTATACTAATTTTCCAATCTTTTCAACCTAATTTATAATTTCCACAGTTATCAGAAACGGAAGGAGTTATGTTTAAATTTACAATTATTTAAGGTTATTGCTAAATTTGCCTTAGTATATTATTAATTGTAATTATAGTCTTAGACAAATTGAATCACGTTATCGTTTGGTGTTTGTCTTGCAGAGGAATTTTCATAGAAAATAATTGAAAGAAATGTCTCTTATTGAATCGTTTTTATTTTTTAACTCATATGGAATGCCTTCATTTGATAGTACAGAGTAATCTGATGATTCCAAGCAAGGATGCATTTTAGTCGTTAATCATATCTTTTTATTAATTTGTCATGGTCATCATCAGTTATACGCGCTTACATAATTTCGTAAGTATACATTAGAAACTCAAAAGACATATTAGTAGATAATTGTGTATAATAAGATGTACTCATTTGTCCGCGTGATAGAAATGTTTCTTGTTTACGCACAATAGACAACTATAGCTGTCATTTCTTGAAAATTTGAATGTATATTTCCATTCCGTCGGTATTATCAAGTTCTTAGCCTTATAGGATTTATATTTGTTTGATATCGAAACATACCTGTGCTTTCTACATTCCTATTGGTGCTACGTACTCGTCTTTAGATTCACGAAAAATTAGTTACGAATACCTTACTGATAATTGACAGTTACTACAATAATTTCAATCCAATTAGTTAATTTATCTTTTACTGTATCTTGATAGACTTATACGTCTTTAACATATGCAGTACTACAATGTAATTGATGTAATTAACAAAATATATTGCATCGATACAATTTATAATATTTCTTAAAAATTGATATGCATAATTTCATGGTACTCCTTACGATAAAATCTCTTAATGTGCTCCCTAATCAGAGAAATGAAGACAACTTTTCGAGACGGATACAATTTATAATGGTACACACATTAAAGCTGTAACTTTTGGGGTGTAACCACTTCGCTTATTGTATTGCAAATGTATTATTCTAAGGATCTGAAGATATCTCATCACTATATAGGTTAATCCTAGAAAAGTTTTACAATTACGCCTGCATTATACCTAGGAATTACGCATAGATATTATTCTGAGATGAATAAGATGGCAAGATTTCGGAAAGAAAATGGCAAGGTGGATCATGAAGTGACCTTCATGCTTGTAAGTATTCTTTGTTTCTTTCTATTCATCTTCAGTAGGTTAGAACGTGTTCATCAGTAATTTTCTGCGCATATAGGTACATCATTCACTCAAAGTACGGAAGATTAAAACCTACTATACTTGACGATAAAATCACGTCGGGTTTGACTGCAAGGACAAATGTGTCGGTCATGTGAAGATGTATGGATATTTGTCATTGAGGGAATAATATTAACAAACTGTAAATACGACTCCAAATGGAAGATTTTTAAGGTGGATTACTTCAGTAAAGGGTACTACTTGTAGCATGCACTAATTATAAATATAGCACGATGATGCATCGATCCATTCAGATGCGTTAACCGATACAAGATACCTTTTTTTCCACCGAATTTCCTACACCGCTTAAGATACTGTACATAGAATTTTAATGGCTGTTATGATCATTATACGCTACAACAGAATGTTATACAAATCAGTACGTTAATATTAATATTGACAACTGAACGATACCTATAAAGAATGTACAATTCAGATCTGTACAAAAGTAATAAGCGAGGATCATAATATTGCAAAAGCTGAAATGTTTATCGGTTTAAAAGAACATAATCACATTATTCATCCGAGCTATCGCTGGTATCTTCAGACGTGTCTACAAATTCTGCGCTTTTTATCTTGCTTTCTTGTTCAGATTCTGCATTAGTTAAATAATAGCAAAAATCTAATTTATGTCACGAGTTTTAGAAGTAAGAAAATTACAATTACAGAATCAGTTGAAGGAATACCTTCTTCCGAAGAGCTCTCGCTTGAGGTATCAGTGTCAACGTATTCTGCACTTTTATACTTCACTGTAGATCATCATAATTTAAGAAGACTTTAATATTATAGTATTTAGTAATTTTGGGCTATATAGTCGTATATACTGCATCAGTAGATAATGTATTTGAAAGACAGTCTCATAATTACAAATCAGCTATCTAGCAATTAGAATTACTTGGTGATTTCGAAGATTTCTTAGGCGTTGCCTTTTTACTATTTCAAAAAGAGAATAGACAAAAATCTTTCAAGATCTGTTCTATAATAGCTCGGATTAAATTTTGACTGTGAATACCTTTTGGAAGTAGTAGCCTTAGTTTGATTTTGTTCATTGTACTCTGCCATGTCTTTGTTATACTGTTCCTTGAGTTTAGCTGATTCGTTATTCCATTTCTATGCCATAACCGCAGTTGGTGAGAATAATTTAAAATTAGATGATATGAACACTTGACAAACCTTCTTCTCTTCTTCCTTTAGTGATTTCCATATCTCTCCTGCTTTTTTGGCAACCTCTGCAACAGTAAACGAAGGGTTTTCGTTCTTAATTCTATCTCTCTGCTTTTGGAGCCAAAGCATATAACCGGAAAGTGGTCTTTTTGGTAAGTTTGGATCCCTAGCATTTTTGACTTTTTTCGCTGGTTTTACTTCATTTTTCTTCTAAACAAAATTTGAGGTTTTATTAAAATCTTAACTTACTCGTGAGTAATAGCAAAGAAATAAAGGTATATAAGTGAATATAACCTTTAGCACGATATTTTACCTTCGCTTTTTTGCCGGCCCTAAATTCTCTTGGGACTGGAATGGCTTTCTTTCTTTTCCCTTGATTTTCCTCATAGTCGCTATCCGATGAGTTAATAGCATCTGTATCATACCTGATAATATAATCGTAAATTGAACTTAAATCCAATTATACGGTCTTGACCATAGTCTGTGCGGTGTTCTTCTTATATAGATTACTTACTCCTCCGCTATACTATTGTCACTACTTTCGTCTGGATTAAAATCCTCGTCCTCTGCGAGTAGACAATAATAAATTCGTTACGTCCGTAATTTACGAATACTGAATGAATCGATGGTAATAAGCTGCCTTTTTAAGACTGACCATCATCTGTGGAATCTGATTCTTCTCCTTCTTCCGCCATAGTAGTCTTTTCTTCCCCTTCAGCTTTTACTCGAGCTAGGTAATGATCTTGATCATCTTCATCTTCAGAATCTAATAGTTCATCTTTGTGTGATTGTCTCTATTAAGATTTAGTAAAATATTAACAATAGCTAATGACGCTATTGATGTAAGATAACGTTAAATAACCTTCAGTCCTTTATTCTTAATTGGTAAGTTATTCTTCTTCGTATAATCATAAAGCGGCGTATAGTCGCTCCTATGAAGAAATTACAATTTCGTTTCACAGTAAACATTAATATTAGCCCTTAAACACTTGACAAGAATTAGCTCAATCACAGTGGCTTCCGTAGCTGAACGTACTTATCAATATTACTGAATGTGTAAATAACACTGTTCTTTGTTATAACTTCAAAATCAAAGGTCTTAATCGTTCCACCTCCAGAAACGCGTGCAAAATTTACACAGACAATTTCATCAGGTCGAATATGCACTGGAGGCTTGTGTACGTATATAAATCCACGGGACAATGGATACAAAAAACCTGAGGAATTTTTATGGGAACAGGAAACTGAAGATGATTTTGTGCTCCTGTTTACAAGAAGTAACAATAATTAGTTAATATAGTATTAATTTAGGGTTCATTTTCATTGGTAGCTTTACCCGATGAAAGCGCCAGGTAAAGTAATTTTTCTGTCAGTTAGAGCTTTCAAGAGTCGACTAAAAATCTCATAAATTGGCCCTTCCATTGTTTTATTGACTTTGTTTGCGTATTTTTGATTTAGCTCTTCCCTGATAGTTATCCAAAAGTAAAAGTTATGCATTTATATTGCAGTCTGTCTAATGTGAGGTAATCATAAATGCATGGATGAATAAGCCAAAGTTCAATTCTTACTGTGAAAGATTGAGATCAAAGGATATTTCCTCTTCTTTAATAAATTGTATTATAAAAAATGGATATCTAGTTTGGCCTTGCTTTAGCGGTGGGTCAAGGGTAAACTAAGAAGGACAATGATGTGCATATACGTTATGTTATTTCTATGATTAATTTATATTTTAAATCAATTTACCGATTACAGTAAGTCTGACCGCTGCAAGATGAAAATACTGTAGATTTTTTACAGCTATTAATCAATACAATTATCATGATGTATCCTACCACGAAAAAAAAGTGGCGTTCGTCGGGATGAGGAAGTAAAAACATTCTGAGAATGGATGTTAGCGCTATTTTATAATCGTACGTTTTGCCATGAAGTTGTATAAAAGTAGGGAACAATTTGATGTTATATCTGCCCCTATAGTGTATCATAATATAAATTTTTGAGTATAATTAGTTTAGCATACAGTTTCCATTCATGTTAAAGCATTAATTATATTTTGATCTCGTAGTAACTGTACTAAAAAAAATTATACACGATTATCCGAGAATTGAACACCAGTTTTATCGTACTAAAATACCTAGGCGTTAAACAAGATACTTCCGTAAATTCTGCTATGGCATCACCAGTTGCTTGTATAATAGTTGCTTTGGCTAAGACCTTTTCGTTAAACGTCTGGACATAGTCTTCATCCTCATTATTGGTAGCAGGCAAATGGAATCTCATTTCCATTAGAGATACCTGTGCATCATCGTGTTGATGAAATTCTAAAGTGACTTCATTTTTACCGACAGTCGACCTGCAGACTTCATTCAGAGGAATTTCGTACGTCATACTGGAATCAGAGTTTAAAGACAGTGAAGAGCCTAACAGAATGAAATCAGTTTCTAATTAATCAAATGAGAGCAAAAAAGTTACAGTATCTTCGATGTTAACAACTATACAGTGAATGGAGGATTTCAATCGAGTAGTTTGCCGAAATAGCTATCATAACAGGTATATTTCTTTGATAATGATAATCAAATCGATCATACTGTTTAAAGTTTTAAACTATGTTCGGCAAAAGTCGAAGGTAACCTAGACCAATGCGCTTTTATTTTAATTCTGTGATTAAGACATGCCTTTGTAGCGCTGATAAGATAGCAAATCCCACAAACGATCACAATTACTGAAAATAGTTTCAGTAATGTACGTATTACTGTACGAGTATCAAAATCGACAACATCGTATCATCAAGACTTGAACGTGAGGATTTTTATATGTACCTTCAAAGCTATGATTGCCCCAATTGAAACCTTTTACAGAAAGTTCCTTTTCTTCCAATTGTATATTATAATTGCCTGAGAATAAGTCAGCAAGCTTATCGTAATCCTGTTATAAAGATAAAACATTTGCAGTTTAACATAATGAAATATATGACTTGCCAAGATAGATACGTAAAAGGTCGATGAATCTAAAATAAATCAAGATGTATAACTGCAATCATGCGTTCTGCCACTTTCAAAGTAATGTAACTTCATAATCAAGAGGAAACGTTTACGCGTATTAATATTAGTACTGCAAGGTTAATTCATAGCCGAGAAGCATTTAATTTCTATTTTTTTGCGTACAATAGTTTCCATATTTCATATTCCGTGTTTATCCGATATAGAAAGATTAAAATTACACAGGAGAGTACTGTAACACTTGATGAACAATTTTTCGTTAATAATTTATAAAAAAATTTGCACAGCACTTGTTACCGCTTCCTTGAAGCCTTCAAATTTGTAAATGACTCCTGACGCTAAGGCCAAGCGTAATTCGTAACCACGTGCGGCACGAAACCAACTGGCATTCATCAATTGACCGGCCATAATCTTATCGACTTTGCCAGTCTTGGAAGCCTTGAAGAGAATGTCTTTCGCAGATAATTTCAATCTGCCTGGGTTCTTTGTGTATGAAGAGAAACATCAAACATAGAAGAAATATTTAGTCTTCATTGACTATGACAAATTAATCAATAACAGTAATACTATGAATGAATAGCACTGTGCACTACAATATACAGAAAGGGCTACCGTATTTCTAGGTTAAAACTTAGTAAATATGCAAACTTTATACCAATATGCCATGGTTCAGTACGAAAACTTCTTCAAAGTCTAAATTATCTATGGCCATGTTTTCATGTGTTCGCTTTGCGCTATTGTATAAATGCAAACCAAAGGATTATACTTAAATATGTGCTAATATAGTTTTATTTTACATGCATCCATGTTAAGGCAATACAACAGAAAATCATTATAATATTTTTAAAAGTTTGCTTATCTAAGTATACAACACAGTTCTGTAAATCACTCAGGAAATTCGAAAAGAATCAATATTCTGGATTACAAAACTATTATGATTAAATGATAGGTTCCTACGTTAATTCCTATGATTCTCAAAACAAAGCGCATCTAAATACCGTAGATATTGTCTACTTCATAAGTGATCAATTAAAATAGAATCTCAAAAGGTACGATTATGTCAGTATTTGGACCACGAGAACAAATATTCCTTGGAAATGCAGCTATCGTCAGCGATGGGCAGTGGCAGGATGAAAACATGGCTGAAAGCTCTAGTGTCTGAACAGTGCCTGTACTGCACACTGTATACAGTATACAACAGTATATCGGGCAAGCATAAAGAACAGACTTTGTACAAATTAATTAACTTACCATGAACTATAAAATATGGTAAATATAGGATCAAGTATATATGTAATAGGCTAATAAGCCAATTTTCTGATTTCTTTTTCGTCAAAGTTGTAGGTCCTGCTAAGTGCAAAAGCGTCGAAAGATTGTACAATTTGCAGACTTGCTGTACAGTACAGTACAGTATGACTCAGATTGCTTTCTTGCAGTTCAGATACTGCACATACGGTACTGTACACCGTACCTTACTGATAAGTACTGTACAGTATTTCAGCGACAGTGTACAGTACAGTACAGTACAGTACTGTACAGTACTGTAGTAACAGTAGGTTTTACCGCGTCTACAGTACTGTACACTGTAGTATAGTTACACATGCTACAGTACAGTACTGTACTGTACTGTACACCGCCGTGGTAAGTTTATCACCATATTAAAACGCCACACTTTTAATTAATTAATTAAATAAACCGACAGAGTGCAGTTAGTGAATTCATAACAAGATTTTTGGCGCGTAGTTGATAGAGTTTGCGCACTAGTAAAAGTGCGTTCACTTGCTCTGATGGAGTAACGGCATTACAGTATGTACTGACAGTCTGATACTGACCGATGGACTGCCAGATGCGTCTGATGCTATAGTCCATGATAGAGTTTGCGCAGTAGTTGGAATGCGTTCCCTTGCTCTCATGGATAGCAATAATAGCATACAGTATGCACTAACACTGACCGATGAACTTCCAGAGGCATCTAGGAATATAGTCCATGATAGAGTTTGCCCACTATATGGAGCACTTATATGTACTGACACTGATCGATGGACTACCAGATGCATCTAGTACTACAATCCATGATACTGAGATTACTGACACTGGACGTCACTGGACGATATTGTACTGTACTGCACACTGCACAGCTGCACAGCCTGCACCGTAGCACAGTGATGGAATACTGTACACTGTACTGTACAAGTACAGTACTAGTGGTCAATGGTAGACTGTTACAAGATATTGTAAAGATTTCGTAAACTCATACTGTACCTACAGTACTGTCATTTAAATGGCACTTTAAATATCAAATGACTTTCCACACCCTGTACTGTACAGTACAGTGTTTGGTACACAGCGTGGATTCTACTGTACTAGTACAGTATTGTACTGTACAGTACTGTACAGTACGTACTGTACGGTAGGCAAATCTACAATACAGTACTGTACAGTATTTGGAGATTGCACACTGCACAAGTCTAAGTAAAAGCTTCGATCGACCTGCTGTTGTAGTCGTGTTTCCTGCTTTCTTTACGGGTTGATTAAGTTAAGGAGATTGCACCAGTGTACAGTAGTGTAAAAGCCCCTGCTTGATTTCTTTAGTCTAATGATACCGTAGTTGTGATTTAGTTGTGAACTTAAAATGTCGGCACGATTGATCAATTTGACTAACGCTGGTAGAATTAACGTATCATTTTGCAGTTTTGATTTGAGATCGAAATCTGCAAGGTCTGTTCGATGAGTATTTGCAGATGCTCTACTGCACTAGTATTTTTACTTTAACTGCTTTGTTATATTAACAGGCTAACACTTTCCATTTTATATTCGATATATCTTCTTGACAGAGAGTTTTTACGATGTCTATCTGGGAAGAAGGTTGCGGAATCCAACACTAAGTGTATCATTCGCACTCAGGTGAAGAATGACGACTCCGAGCCAACTATCCAAGTTGCTTTATGTAAGATGATTTTTTTAATTGTCAAATAAAGTATCTGTAAACTTCAACTACGCTATGACTATTCTATTACACGTATCGTAATCCAGTAATATGTATGTGTCCTAGATGTATTTCAAACTTTGTAATCGTATTGCAACAATATCAGAACAGCAAGTTTAAGTCTTAATTAATTCTCTTATAGCGTTAATTAAAATCAAAATTCTGACTTTATCTACTTTTTTGGATTGTTTTAGCTGATGGTACTAAGCATAGCATTAATACCTCCAACCTAAAATATTCTGAGGTGGTGGATAAATTTCATGCAATAACCGGATTCAATCAGTAATCGATACCCGATTTATCTATTCGCTTTCAAGCCTATTTACGAAGCAATTCACTATGCAGGATATCGTATTCACGAGTATCTGTTTTGGTACTGATCATCAATGGTGATTTCACTGTGCAGTGTGTCACAGCGATTTGCGAGTAGAGATCAAGAGTGCATGATCTGTATTTTAGTATCATACAGTATACTGTATAGTAACAATACATAATTATTAGATTTTTAACTTTAAAAGAGAGTTTGTACCATGAAGCACGATTTATAACTATTATGAATATAGCATACAATGAACTGATCATGTCTTAAATTAGATTTCCAGACAACCGATAGTACGAAGTACGAACGATTATTGATGACTACATTAATAAGAACAGAAATACGCGTACCGTGCTTATTCGTACGTACATTGCCTCAAATCTTCAATTATGTCACATATTCTGATATGATAGTATTTTACGTAATATCTAATTACCGGCTCCTAGATTGGGCATTAACAGCTTCTTAAAATAGTCTGATTAATTAATTAATACGGGGAGGACTTTAAGTAACTAATTATAATTATTTATACATTGAACATTTGCGAGCATACTGTCATAAAAAAATAACCATATAGATAGATATAATTATTATTATTATAATTGGCAACCTTCCTATGTGTTATGCTGTACTTGCGATTTTCATGACGTTTTATGTCGAAGGATGATATTGATTTGAGATGTTTGTACTGGCGCTACTGCGTATACCTTTAGCTGTCGCTGTGTTAAAACCGATAGATGCAGACTTTGTTTCATGAGAAATTATCGTAAATTTTGCTACTACTGTACATACAGTACGTACAGACAAACGGTTTACAGTGTTACGGACGGACTTGATTTCCAGCCCTTTTTCCGTCAAAAATGACGAATACGTACGTATTTGCTTTATTTCGTAATTCGAATTTAAGAAACAGTAATTATGTCTTAATTCTTGCTTTAAAATTGCTGACACGCAAAAATTTAGTATCCAGTTTAGTAATCGATTGTATTTCAATTAAGACAGCCACATCTAAAACATATGTAGAATAGAAAGGCCTACTACGCGTACCGTATATTAGATACTGTAGCAATTATTGTTAGGTAAATCATGTAGTGGTTGGAGAGTATTAGTTACTAATCTGTAATTACCGAAAAATGTATTGGAGCAAGATTGGAACCAATATTTCTGAGCTTTTCTCAATAAAAATTTTTGCTCTATTAAATAAAGCCATTTAAAATCCGTAAAAGTCTCGAGCTGCATTTGTGCTATTCTAATGGCTGAAGAAAATTTGGTTACTATCATTATTTGAACGATGGGATTTCACGTAGTATTAATTCTTTATTTTCTTATAGCATTGATAGCATCAAAAACTTGGCCAACAAAACAATACAAATGATTATCGTATAGTAGTAATAGTTAACGTTACATACGGCGCATTGACTCTGTACTGCACAGTACATGCAAACATAAGGTTATTGGGTTGTATACAGTAAGCATAGAGGAACGAGAAGATTCAGTGACGAGGTCAGATCATCATTCACATGTAGATTAAAAGCTTTGACTTTGTTTTAGTTAGTATGGTGTTTGAAAAAATCAAGTAACTCCATCACTATTTTCCAATTGCGTATATTACAGTAAACAGTATCTTAAATGGCTATTAATGATAAAATGCCCGTTTTGTCATTTTTTATTCGATTTTTATAGTACCTGATAATTGTTGTATAGTGAAAAGCTAGATATAATCGATGCTCATCAACAACGCTGATACTTGTATTTTGATCAAGGTTTCAACCTTGTCGGTTTTGAAAGTATAGCTTAATCTTAGTGGCTTTTAAATTAAATGTAACTAGACTGATCCTGCAAATAATCTCATAAGCTCATTTAATAAATAATAAAATATGCGGTGAAGTACACAAATTTATCTAAAAAAATTCTTTGATTTTTACTTATTTTTAAATAGCGACGATAACGATGTTCTAATCCTTGCATCAAAATTGCAAATTGATATAGAGTAACCTAAGATACTGTAGGAAAGTAGGTTATAGTGAGGCTCCGGTAGTGATGAATAAAACAGTCACGCTAGACCCGAGCAGACTAGCGGTGTGAGGATTACCTTCCTTAAGTGAGACTACAGGGCCCCTCGATAAGCGACATCAGTGTGTCTCAATAAATCACGCATGATTGGCTCAGAGTGAGGGATGGTATTTATACTACTGTTAGATGACTTTGATTATGGGTTTATTTCAATAGGTCAGTATAAGATTCTTACAGTACTTTTTACCTCAACATTTCTTCATGTAAAACGAATAGCTCTAAGGTAGTCATTTCTGCAGAGTACTGATTATTAAAATAGTATTCGTTATATTGCTAAGGGTGGCGACTGGGTCTTTAAATTTTGATTCGATGTAATACTCTGATGAAAAATTGA